AGCATCAACAAGTCCTTACTTCACTTCCTGATAACCTTCTCCACCTACTTTCAACACAAAATCAGTGTGACAAATTAGGCAAGATTCCAGGCCCAAACATGTGGCTCCTGAAGCCAGTTTCAGCGAAAACTGTGTACCTGGATTTGGTGGGTCAAAAGGAAATATTCTAATACTATGCCTTAAACCCATGAAAAAGACATTTCCTTCGGGAGGCTAAATTCTCAGATCTGTATTCAAAAGCAGGGGCCTTGGGAAAATGCTGGGAAGACTGATGCCACCAGATCTTGAAGAGCCATTTGTTAGTGGTTGCACAACAGAGAGAGAGAGAGAGAGAGAGAGAGAGAGAGAGAGAGAGAGAGAGAGAGAGAGAGGGAGAGAGACAGACAGGCTCCTCTCTCCTAAGCTTGTGGGTGAGCATATAGTATGCAGTTTGGTGGCCCCATTCTGTTCTCACCAATAAACAAAAAGAAGGGAATGGGGGAGGGGAGGGGAGAATCTAAATATGTGGATTTGGTGGGTCTAGATCTCATGAATAAGTTGTGAAGAACACCCCTTGAATCTGGGCAGTCTGCCCAACTTGCTGGACCCAGATGAACCTAACAGATGTGGCCTGGGCCCTGGGCTCCTGGTAGCCCAGAGGGAAGGAGATGAACCCGACTGTTGGGAAGAGGGGATGACAGCCTCCATGGACGCAAACCTCTCTACCCAGACCAAGCCTTATGTTATAGGTTGCCAAGAAGCCTTGTGCTACTGTCCTCCCAACCTTTAAGATAAAATGATTTGTCAAGGAGAAGGGCCATGGGCTTTTTCTGATAGAATACTACTCAGTTGGACTCATAACCCAAGATCCAGAGACGGGCTTCAGGGGAAATGCTCTCATGACTGAATGCAAAACTTTGTACATATGTAGAATATTTTATAACACAGTAACACCTTGGTTTGCGAGCATAATTCGTTTTGGAAACACACTACTTGTATTGCAAGACATCACTCGTTTACCATGTTAAAATGTATTAGAAATGCTTGCTCGTCTTGCGCAACACTTGCAAACCAATTTACTCACAATCCAAGGTTTTACTGTATGTGCATTTTCCTAGGGAGAGGGTTTATCACTTTCATTTTTCAAAGAGGTTCAAGTCACCATAGATATAGAATGTGATTTTAAAAAAAATCCAATATATTACCCTTTTCTGTTATGCCTCTACTTAATTATCCAACAGGTACCCAAGGAATTCAAATTTTAGATATTTAAAAAAAAGAAAATTAAGTAAGGTTTAAGAGTTGGCAGTGAATTTTGAGAAAGTGGCATGCCTGCTAAATGCGGACTTTCATACTCTCCCTAAAACTCGAGAAGATAGAAACAATGACATGTCACTAAGGAGGAGTACAATTCACCGATCTTCTGATCTAAGGCCGATTAATTCACATGGGAGCAGCTGAAATCAGTTCAGTCACTGTCAGTAACAGAAGAGGCAATGGGAGAAGCTTGAAAGAATACTTGACCTGGAATACGGACTAGTCTCTATTCTCTAATCCTAGCTCTGCCTAATTTAATCTGTGACCTTGGACAAGTCCCTTCGTCTGTGCTTGGGTCCTTATCTGCAAAATGCAGGCCTCTGAGGTAGAGCACTAGTTTGCAAACTCTTTTCAGGCAATGAACATTATGTTTAGATAAAATCATCTAGAATTCATCAGAAGCTAAAACAAATTCAAAATGGCAGGCTCAACATATATGCATTTATCTCCACTCCCTCTAGAAACCCCATTAAGTTATGATTCTTACATAATCTCCTACTTCCTGAGCATTTATCACGTGGCTGTTTTAAGTGTATTCACGGATGGAATCCTTAACGCTCATATTAGGCAGGTGACGATCCCCAGTTTACAGATGAAGGAACTGAATCACCAGTGTTTAAGGAACTTGCCCAAGTTTTCACAGCTAATAAATGGCAGAGCCAGGATTCAAACCCAGGCACTCAGGCTTGAGTCTGTTTTATGCGTACCACCTCTCAGGCTGACAGGGACTAGCAAGGCTCCCAAGGAGAAAGAAGCTGAAAGAGATTAGAAATGTTACCAAATTTTGAAAAGCAGACAAAAGAGTAGTGACTGACTTAGCTGGAGAATACTGACTGCTGCATATGGCAAGCCACTGGAGAGCCTCCTCCAAAACTCAACTGTTGGAGACAACACAGGTTTCTCCTTAGGGTGTGTGAGCATAAGGAAGGCTGAAAACAGGCAGGACGACTCCCCTCACCAGGCAAGCACCTGCTCCATCTGCCCCAACAGAGGACTGGCGGTTTCCTCTCTGGACAGGATAAACTAGAGACTCCAGACTTGGGTAACCAGGGCGCCACTGAAGACAGGGAGTGGCCCATCCAGGGGGATTAAGTGAATGTTTGCACACAGAGGCAAGAGCCCCCAGTCTCCTCCCACCATGAGGCTCCTAGAATAACAGCAAGGCTTATTCCATCTAGACCGGCGGTTCTCAACCTTCCTAAGGCCGCGACCCCTTAACACAGTTCCTCATGTTGTGGTGACCCCCAACCATAAAATTATTTTCGTTGCTACTCTATAACTGTAATTTTGCTACTGTTATGAATCGTCATGTAAATATCTTTTTGTTTTCCGATGGTCTTAGGCGACCCCTGTGAAAGGGTCATTCGACCCCCAAAGGGGTGGCGACCCACAGGTTGAGAACCACTGATCTAGGCAGACTAGGAGTAGCATCACCAAAGAACGTGTCAGAAAAGCAAATTCTCCAGCTCATGCCAGATCTACTGAATAAGAAATTCTGGGGTGAGGCCCAACAACCAGTAAAAAGGCCACCAGGTGATTCTAATGCCCACTAAAGTTTGAGAACCATTGGCCTACAGGGAGGCCCACTAGTCCATAAACCCACACCAAAAAGCTTCCGACTTTTTCAATGTATTTGGAAGACAATCTGGAGTCACCAGAAGTTTCAGGAAAGACGCTATCCTGAAAGAGAGACCAAAACAGATTTCACAGAGCAGCACTAGTGAAGAGGAGGGAAATGGGGCAGAGCCTGGTTTGCTTGGCCTCTCCCTGGCACCCACCATCACACTGCCACTGAGCTAGGTCTCTGGCTCTACAGAATACTTAGAAAACGAATGAAGCAGGTGCTCTCTACGGTCCTGTCCAGCTCTAGCCTGTGCCTTTATACTGGTCTTTATGTCCCAGATCCTTGAAACTAATACAGCAATTTAGACTGACACTCTTGGTTGGAACTACCTCTGATAATTTACTTATCTGGAACTCCATCTGATAATTTACTTGTCCTTTTGAATGAACAAAAGGCATTTCAATGGAAAAATCATAATACAAGCATTCTTATGCTAAAGGGTTGCTATAGTCTGTATTTGCATTAAATGCAGAGGAAAAATGCACTGCTTTAATTTTTGCAGAAGTATCTGTGGCCATCCCACTCTTATCATGCCTTTTTTTGCTTCTCTGTATCTTACAAGCTTTCCCCGGCTCACCCTTTCAGGCTAAATCTTTATTATTATCATTAGTCAATTTATTGGGGTGACAATGGTTAGTGCAGGCTAAATCTTAAACCAAAAATTCTCCCCTTTTACTGCTTTTCACCAGTCTCTACTCACCCCAAACGTTACTACCACAACCAGATCATTCTTCTCCTTACAAATCTCTAGTAGCCTTGACATCTTGTACCATGAAATCATGGTGGACAAAAGTCTCTCATTTATATTTAGTTCCTCTGCCTCCTCTAGTCCAGCTCATTTTCTCGAATTCCTTGGTTCTCCACTAAAGATCCTTCCCCCTCTCAGGCCACTTCACTCCTCTTCTGGAAAACTAATCCCCTTCAGGAGGGGTTTAGAGTGATGAAAAACTTATGCCAGGCATGATGCAAAGAATACCACAATGTTCTCATTTGATCCTCACACTAATACTGAGAATTAGGAATCACCCCTATTTTCACATTTGGAAAACTGATGCTTAGAGAAAGAAATTAAGTAACTTGCCCAATTTTAATCCAAATCCTTCAATCTCCAAAACCACACTCTTAACCATTCTACTCTACTGCCTCCAGAGGTCTGACTCAAATAAATATGTGGAAGTAAAAAAGCTTCCTTAAAAGCTTTCTTATTTCCTGCAAAAAATAAGAAGAGCAAAAAGGGCTCTGTCATAGCATTGTTTTGTTTTGAAACGAGGTCCTCCACAGATGCTGACAGCCTTCCAGCCAAAGCACAACAGGGAACTGGGCTTGCAGCAGCATCTCCCCAGCTCCCTGCCTGGAGGGCTCCACATGGCTCAGCAGCGGGGCCAAGGAGCAGCCCAGCATGCTCTCCAGCAGGACTGGATGCAAAACACAGGAGGAAGGCTGGCTCCTGCGCCCAGAATGCCGGTAGGGAACAGGTGGTTAAGAGATCCCGCTCCCCACGCAGCCCATCAGTCCATTTTCTGTGACCTTTGTGGTGGTGGCGGTGGTATGCCTCCCAGTGTGGGGCAGAGCAGCTGCCCACTTCAAAAGGTTTCCGGATCCGACTTTAAAAGCTCGTAAGAGACCAGGTAGCAATCTAACAATCAAGAGCAAGCAATGACTCCTAAGGAAAAGCCTCCGCCTCTATAACACTGCTAACTTCGAAAGGCACAAAGAAATGTCTATGGTGACAACAGAAGGTGCTTCAGTGGTGCCCATCAGAATGTAGCGACGGCCACCGCCCCTTCCTCCACGGAGGGGCTGTAAGTCCATTTTCTCTTGTCTGTGTGACAGAAAGGGGAGGCGGGGACCCCAATGTCTCCCACTCCGAGGGCCTCAGCGGCGCACCTCTCAGCCTTTCCTTGTAAGGGCTGAGAGGCTGTGCCTGTCCGTCTCCCACTCGGCACCTCTCTCCCCTACTCGGTCTCCTCCAACCGCCTTTCCCTCTGCCCGCTAGACCTCGCTTCCCCTGTCGGCCCCGCCCCTCTTTCCTCTGCTCTGGCTGCCTTTTCCTCAGCCCGCGCCGCCCAGCCCTCGGTACCTTGAGCGTCACGTCGCACAGCTTGCCCTGCCGCCGGATCTCCTCCATGACGCCGTAGCCGCGACTAGGCAACTCGGACACGGAGAAGTGCACCAGGTCCTCCAGCTCCTCCGCGCCGTCCTCCACCATCTTCCCCCGCCGCCTCGACTGCGCAGGCCTGGCCGGCCGGCTCCAAACTAAACAGGGCGGGGCGCGGCGCACGCCAACTGCGGCTCGGGCGCCGGGCTGGGATCAGACAGGCCTGCGCGGCCGCCGTAGTCAAAGACGGCTCTGCGCCGGAAGTCCTGCTGCCCCGCTTCCTGGTTCATGTGCAGCCTTCTCTCCCTCGCCGTCCCAACCGTGGTCTCGCGCTTGCAGCTGCCGCAGTCTTCCTAAAATCATCGGTCCCATCTTCCGTCTTACCGATTCCGCCCTGGCCTTACTCGTATCTCAACAGACGACCGCAGACTTCATTTCCGCCACCACCCTGATACTTCCGGAACCTCCGGAAGCGACCCGTTGCCATGGCGGCCGTGTATACATACAGCCCAGTAGCTGAGCGTACCGGTTTTCGGTCGGGGCAGTTGCAGCGGTCGCCCTGCGAAAGGGCTGCTGCCTCCTGAGAGGTGAGCAGGGGCCACGCGCCAGGGTGGGAGAAGGTTGGTTGGAGAGAGAGTGTATGCCCCGGCAGCGGGCAGCGGCTGGGATCCGAACACCGCTCCACCTGGAGTTCACTGGGCTGGCTCGCTGATCTGTGAAACTCCGGCGGATGAGGACGCGGCATCGCGGGGGCCGTTTCAACTTGGCTGAGGCTTAGGTTCTTCAGATCTAACGTTCTCTGGTCCCACGAGAGTCCTACATGGTTCAGAGGGCGCGAGGCGGGGGGCCAGAGGTCTTCTGGGCTTTTCTGCACTTGTAGGTTTTCGAACTGGATGGGGCTCCCGGAACGCCAATCTGAGCCCTTCGATTTACAGATTAGGAAACCGCTCCAGAGAGGGTTAGGAATGGTCCCAAGGTCCACTGCCTCCCAGATTTTACCAAGGGGTCCGGTATGTTGGGTGAGAAAAAGGAGAAAGGCCAGTTCTGCCTGGATCCGAGTCTTTTGTTTGGCCCCAAAGTGGGTGCATTTGGGCCCTGTTTTTTTGTTTGTGTCATTTTGGTTCAGATGCTTCTGCATCAGATGTGTCTCTGATGACGGGTCGCTTTCTCATGAGAACCCCTCATCTGGGCAGAAGCGCTGGAAGATAGGGACCCTCCTGGTGCCTACCGACCCAGCAGATGCTCCCTCTCCTTTTATCAAGCTTTCAGATGCTTGGTGGCAATTCTGTTCATTCTCACCTCTAAAACAAATGAGGAAACAGCGATCCTCTAAGCAGCGAGGTTTCCTGGTGGCCACTCAGAGGTTTACTTATTTACACCAGAAATATGTAAGGATAGTGCCAGGGAGAGAGGGGCATTCGTTCCCCACAAGGTCCTAGGGGAGAAGGACCCTACTAAAAGGGAGGGCGTGGTGAGGGGCTGAATATGGTTTTTTGCGAGTGGTGCCTGGAAACCAAGTGTCTCCTAGAAGGGCTGTGGACTCAGATATTGGAGGTGGTGTGGGAGGAGAGTGACATTATATGCCCCTTGGGACTTTTCTCAGTAGTGACCGAAGATGGAGCAACACATGGAGATTCAGCCACCCTCTGACTTCCAACCATGACCATCACCACCAACCACGATTTCTTGAGCACCTGCTCTGTGCTGGGCACTGCTCTGGATATTGAGGGGGGATTCAAAAGAGATAAAAGGCACAGCCCTATCTCCCATGCAGCTTGTAATTTAATTTAGGAGCTGAAACCCACTCAAATGATGCGGCATAAGAACACTAACAAGCATTTCAGTAAGTGCAAAATGGCATGGCGTCTCCAAATGTCTGGGTGTTGAGGGACTGCTGAGTAGCAGACTCACAAGGGGTTGTAGTTAATAGAGAAGGCTTGCCTCGGTTGGCTGTGGCTTCTGGCATGCCTGGTGCCATGGGTGTTTGCATGGGGAGGGCTTGGGAATCACAGATAGGGTGACTGCATGCATGCGCATGTTGGCAAACTGTGGGGTAGAAGAGGAAGAGGCAGGCTCTGGGGGAAGGGTGATGCTTGGAGCTGGCCTGTGCTGCCCTTGTGCTGTCAGTGGGTGGGGGCTGCTGGGAGAGCACCTGCCCCAGAGCTGCTCTACTTCTTCATGGTACCCTTCAGAGGGCATCCTGGGCAGGAGGATGTGCCCTCGGACGGGTGTGGGGAATGGTTCCCAGAGCTTTAGAGATTGAGGGTGTTTGCATGAGTTAGAACATGCCTCCCTCCACTCTCAACTTCCCCGTAATCTAGATCGAAACGAACTTTAGTTGTGAAATTTTCTTTTTAGTTTCCTCAATTTAGGATTCATGTTAGAGCTATTTGTAGCTTTTTGTTTCTAGAGCTCAATTTTTCCGACAAAAAAATTTAGGGCAGAAATTGGACAAGCCATTATCTTGCTCACCTGAGTACCTTTTAGATTCATTTCCTAAAAATTAGGTCTGAATGACCCCACAGTGGAAAGGGCTTCCATGAAATCATTACTGAGGAATGGAGGAAGTGGACACACACTCTATAATAGGCAAATATGAAAGTAACATGTTTGCTTATTTGATTTGACATATGAAGGGCTTGTAACTGGGGTTAGAGTTCAGTGTCCACATTGAAACTAAATAGAAAGAGCAGGACCTGTCTCTAACTTGCTTCTATAGAGATATTTAATGCTACTTGATGATAGTTAATATAATTGTAAGAGGAAATCAAGGGGTCAACACAAGTTGTGTCTAGAAATGTGGAAGAACATTAATATTTTAAAAGCATGGAGTCATTTCTATCAGGTAACACACATTGGACCTGTCTTAGATAATGCATGTAAAATGTTACCATTCTTTATTGAACGCACTTTTTTTAAAAGTGCAATAATTAACTGCATTAAAAAGAAGAAATCCCTGTCGTGCCTGACTTTTCTTTGCAGTAAAGGTCTTGAAAATTAGCTTTTTAACAACATTAAACATCATATCAGTTTATTTGTTAGAGTGCTTTGTAGTAGCGCAGGCAATTTATTTTTTTTCCTTAATAACTGTGTTGATATTGCTTTTTTGCAATTTGAAGATGAAATGGAGTGAGCTCCCTCTCTATGCCTCATGTTTCCCTAACTCTTCATAAATTCAGTAAATTTCTTTGTTGGTTGTCCTTTTCAGAAGTATGCAGTTTTCCTTAGCCTCTGCTCCTCTCTCCTGTGCATAAATGCAGGAATACAAATATATGTGTGTCTATCTGAAAGAAAATTATGAGAATATAGTTAGGCTTTAGGAGAAGAAGAGGAGGTAGGGGACGATCTGTGATTTTGCCCTCAACGGAGCACCAGAGAACAAAGAATATTTGATTATGGGCTAGATTAAATCTATGTCCAGCGAATCTTTTTCTGATCTAAGTTAGTCTGATAGAGGTGCTGCACCTGAAGTAAGGTATGTTAATGAAGAAAAGAATTAGTTTTCAGGCCTTTCATAGTAAGTATTTGCAAGGAAAATCTAATGAATGAGGCAAAGCATAAGTGGACTTGGATACAGAACATTTCTAGAGACTACATCTAAGATTAGGCCGCTACAGGGAGCGTTCTTTGCTTTGTATTTCGGTCCCGTAGGTGGTCATTGGTGGAAAATGGTGAGGCAACCTGTAAAGTAGGAAGCACACGTACTTACTGGGCCACGTCCTGTGGGCAGAGCACTGAAATGCTAAGGGATAAAAAGGAAGACCGGCATCCAGTGGGATAGGAAGACATGGACTGCGCATCAGTCTTTTCTAATCCTCTTCATGAATGATGCCTCCCCTCTCATTGTAATTTGATGATGTCTACTGAAAATTTCGCTATTTTCTTCTTTTTAGCTAGAATGGGGACTAGGAAAAAAGTTCATGCATTTGTCCGTGTCAAACCCACCGATGACTTTGCTCATGAAATGATCAGATACAGAGATGACAAAGTAAGTGCGGTGTGTTTGCCTTCACCTGCCTGGGCCTCTCTCTGTCCCACCTCCAAACAACCTTTGAAGGACCAAGACAGAATTGGTAAAAGCTTAGACGGACTCTAGAGTCCATAAAGTCCAAGCCATACCCCCACAATGCCATTGATGAAAAAAACCCCATTTTTAATTGTCTTTTCGGTTAGTAAGTTTACCTTCATCCTTGTATCTGACACAGAAAAACTGACATTTGTCCATACTCATAAAGCTTTCTGGTGATCAGATCTGCTGTTACATAATCTCCCAGGGGGTACAGTAAGAATGTCTCAAGTTGATTACTGTTAAACTTACCAGAGCAGTGCGGGGAACTCTTGTCGAGAGAACTGGAAAGATTTATCCATCCCCATGTCCTCATCACTGACCCGAGAACCTTTTCGAAGACTGTGATGGACTTAGGACAGCTTGAGAGTGTTAGATGCTTTTATTCAGCAAACATTTGTGGATCTACTATAGGCAGCATTGAGACATTCTTTAAGGGAAGAATTCAAGGGCCAACTGCTCAAACTTCGAACGTCCTAGTAGTCAGGAAAAAGTTCACGTGCCGCCCTGTGAAGTGTACACTTGGACATGGTTTCAGTGGATGCAGAAGCACAGAGCCATTAATGTATGAATGGACCAAGCCTCTCTCTCTTGATCTTAGTTTTCTCTGTGTGGCCGTGTCTTGGCTCCTGCATTAGGGCAGCCAGTCTAAGATTCCGAGAGTCTGTTTACATCGGAAGTCCCCATTGTGAAGAATGGACTCTACCATTGACCTAACCCAGTATGTTCCTAAATCAGCAGCTGCCTTGGGGGCTTGCTGTGGGGGGATCTAAAAATATAAAAACTGTTTCAGGCATCTTTGCATCTAAAGATGCCTAATTACGTGCCTAAAGATGCCTGATTACAAGTAGGCAGACACCCCTGATTTACTCTAATACCAGTGAGTAACTAAGTGTGTCTGAGAAGGCCCAGAGCCTTTCCTATAGCTCTTATTTCATCTCTGCTCACACTGACCATAGCGCATCTGTGGAGGTAGCTGCTCACCACAGTCCTGAGGGAGGCCTCACCGCCAGCGACCAGAGAGAGAGGTGGGCGCAAGCCCAGCCACTGTGACCAAGCCCACTGTTCTCTCTGGCCTAATCCAAGGCCTCCCTATGCTTACTGGCCGTGGCTAACGCTGGTTTGTTAAGAACATGATAAATGTGCTTGACCTCATGTCATAGATGGAGGAACCAAGACAGTACCCTGCAAACTAGGGAGAGATGGACCAAAACTAGCAAGTGCCCCAGTCCACTGATCCTTCTACCAAGGGCCACGTGGCCTCCCTACAAGAGCTTCCTTCTCCCATCTCAAACAAATCATCTGGAATATCAGCCCATATGAGGGAGTACCTGTTCTTCCTAGTTCACTTCTTCTATTTCCTCTGAGTCAGGGATATTTTTATACCAGTCTCCTAACACATAGCCCCCTCCATCCCTCCCTTCCTCCCTTTTTTCTCCTAGACCATTGATATTCACTTAGAAAGAGATACTCGGAGAGGAGTCATCAATAACCAGCAGACAGACTGGTCATTCAAGCTGGATGGAGTTCTCCATGATGCCTCTCAAGACTTGGTTTATGAGACAGTTGCGAAGGATGTGGTCTCTCAGGCCCTCAATGGCTATAATGGTAATTTAGTTCATTAACTGTCATTTTACATAAGAACCCCCAGAACCCCTCGTGGAGGAAGAGGTGCACATGTTTTTTGGTGAATAAAATAAAATATAACCTCATTTACTAACTTTTGGTTGCTTATTTGTCAGTTTCCATGTTCTTATAGGAGAAAACTTGCTATTTGGTTGTGACATTATGGTCATGGCTTGATCCAGTGTCCTGGGACCCTACCTTCATAGGAATGACCTTGGCTTTCTATAGGTCACAGGGATTCAAGTATTATCCTGCTTCAAATCACTCAAATATTAGTTTTGAAGATAATGCCCTTAGGATTAATTTGACTGCATCCAAACATTTTTCTCTTGGCCACCTGCTTGGAGCCATTTCCATTCATTCTACCAGCACAATCAACCTATTCATATTCTAGTATAAGATTATTTAGATGTATCACTAAAAACTTGAGTAGCGTTTGATTTTCTTAAATCAAAAGTGGCTTTGTTAGGACATTTTTACCAAGTTGTTCAATGTAAGATTGTTTTAAAATCGTAGCAAGATTTTAAAATCCTTAGAATATATTGTAGTCTGTAGACTTGATATGGTGGCGGCTGACTAGAATGGTCCCCGTTTGCAAGTTTTAGGTCTGTTTACAAGTGCGTTGAGTGTAGATGCTCAAACATTGTAATCTCTGCTTGTGATAACACAGGTGTGGTCCTCATTGACCCTGAGGAGATGTGGCCTGGGAGGTAGAGACTGAGGAACTGGGGAGGTTTAGAGTCCTGGGTCCTGGGTGCTGTGGAACCACAAATGGGCTCTGAGCCCCAGCTGAAGGGACTCCTTCCTGCACATTTGTGTTGAGTAATAGACACTCTTTCTGACTTCCAGCTCAGATCCTGAATTAAGGCCTCTTGTATAATAATTGGTAAGACCTACCAATCCCAGGAACTAGAGCATCCATTTGGCAAAGGCAAACGCTGATGTCCGTGGCACTGCATTGCCCAGGCAGGTCTGCTGTGTCAACACCCAGAAGCAGCCTTCGGGGTGGGGTCTGGCTCTTCCGGCCCTGGCTGGGAGGAAGAGCAAATGGGAACAGGAGCCCAGGGTGACTGTGTGGTTTGTGTCCTGGAGCTTGGTGGTGATGGTAGAACTAAAGAATGTAAGAGACGCAAGTGCAAGTCTCCCCAGAGAGAGCAGTGGCACCCGATCAGGAACTTACTGGTCATGGTGATCCGTGTCTGGAAGCGGCGTGGGGTCGACCGGCAGCCCTGTTTGATCCTGTGGGAACTTTCAGTCTACCAAGAATTCTCACCATTAGCAGGAAGTGCCCTCCCCACTCCCATCTCTTCCGGGGCTTTGGAAGCTCTTCTTGCCTCCTGCCTGGCCAGCCGCCCGGGGAGGCCCAGCCCTGAGACTCTGGCAGTTCACGATCTCGCTGAAGAAGGGCTGGAGTTCAGTGCTGTTAGCCCTCTCCTCATCTTTCTAGGAAAATACCCAGTTCCTCTGTTCTCTGGGAGTCCCTGCTCTCCTCAGATCTCTCGGCAGAGGGAACGGTAGAACACTATATGGGCCACAGATTGAGAGCAGCTGTCTGTGTTTTGGCCATTCATGTCCCTGCCTCCCTACCCGCCCGCCCTCTGTGGCAGGAATTCCCGATATCCTTGGCTGCTCCTGGTGGCCACCTTCACACCAGGGTCCCGGCTGGCACCAGGCATGCTGGGGGAGGGAGAGCTATCCTTGGAGCCATTTTCCTGGATGTCACCAATTGCGTTTTGAAATATTTGCAGGCACCATCATGTGTTATGGGCAGACGGGAGCTGGCAAGACATACACCATGATGGGGGCAACTGAGAACTACAAGCACCGGGGGATCCTTCCTCGTGCCCTACAGCAGGTAGAATGGGCCCGCAGGTGGGGTGCCACACAGGTCCCCTCTCTCTACCATAGATGCTGCCGATCCCGGGCCGGCCACTGGAAACAGCGGGGTCCAGGCCTCAAAGGAGTCGCAGTCTTTAGAGAAAACAGGATGCACATGGTTCTGTGTGTGTGTGTGTGTGTGTGTGTGTGTAAGTCAGTGTGTCAGAGGCCTCAGGAAACCGGGAGTTCAGGTTTCAGACTCTGACCCACGCCCGTGCTGAGCCTGTTGACTCATTGGTGACAGGGAGTGGGACATGCTGACTGGCTTCGTGCCGCTCTGGTGGCCTGTGATCCTGTAACTGAGGATTTGGAGGTCTGAATCGTGTTCCTTCCTGGTTTTGATGAGGGGATATGGACCCTGCAGAGCTTCCTTACTGGCCTGCTCTGGCCTCTTCCTCCACCGCAGCCCCAGAGAGAGCCATGGGAAGAAGAGGCGGGCAGAGCCAAGATACCAACTCTCAGGACCAGTCGGCCCTGGGGGTCTGGGAAGTGTGACTGAAGACGAGACAGATGGGCCTTCCTTCGGGGTCTGCTAGCCTGGGTTCTGTGAGGGCTCTCTATTGAAAAGTAGGAGGCAAAGGGCTTTTTCCCAAAACCATCTTGAGCTTCAGTAGTGTAACCCAGTGCTGCCCAATAGAAATACAGTGTAAGTCACATATGCAATTTTGAGTTTTCCGGTAGCCACATTTAAAAAAGTAAATCAGATGAAATTAATTTTAGTAATACATTTCGTTTAATGCAACATACTCAAAATACCATTTCTACATGTAATCAATATGAAAGTTATTGTAATATTTTATATTCTTTTTCTCATAGTAAGTCTTTGAAATCCAGGATGTATTTTATACTTACAGCATTTCAATTTAAACATTAAATATTCATCAGAAACCCTTGATCTGTATTTAGATTTCATAAAATTTACAATTGAAAAAGCAGATTTAGAACCCCAGTTCTTCCAAACATACTTAAAAGTTTACCAGTAACTGAATTTAGTATCAGCTTTTCAATTTCAGTGAATTCAAATTCAAATTTAAAATTTAGTTCCTCATTTGCACTAGCGACATTTCAAGTGGTCAACAGCCACCTGTGGCTAGTGTCTACCGTATTGAACAGCACAGAGCTAGACTGTTAAAGTAGGATGGGACTTCAGGGATCATGCAGCCCAACTCCTCATTTGACAGATAAGAAAATTAAGATCCAGAGAGGGGAAAAGATCGTCCAGAGTCACCTGCTGGTAAGTACTAGGGAGGGTATTAGGAGTTGAGAAGGCTGAGGCTTCGCTTCTTCCCTTACTAGTTGAATGGCCATAGACAAATAATTTTATTGCACGGAGCTTTCCATAAATGGGTATTACTCTGCCCTGCTTCAGTCACAGAGAGTTCTGGGGATGGAATTAAATAATGGCTGTGAAAGAGGCTTCTATACAGTGAGGCCCCATAAACAAGAGATCTTCACTCCAGAGTCCTTTCTATTCATCATGCCTCCACTTCTTGGAACTGCACAATTATTAGCCAATCTGTAAGTCAGGCCTCAAAAAGCAAGATGATAGATATCACCCAATGGACTGAGAATTATAATAATTGTTGCGGATGACTGTTACTAGACTAGACTGCCAACTAGACTGTAAATTCTTTTAGGACAGGGGTTTTCTTATTGTACTTTTGGTGTTCCCTCGTGAGGTTAAGAACTCTCCCTACACTAGCTGGTCATTGGAGTTCTGCTCTTGGTAACTGCTGTCCAATCTCCCATCTAGGTTTTTAGGATGATTGAGGAACGCCCCACACATGCCATCACTGTACGTGTTTCCTACCTGGAAATCTATAATGAGAGCCTATTCGATCTCCTGTCCACTCTGCCCTATGTTGGACCCTCAGTCACGCCAATGACCATCGTGGAAAACTCTCAAGGAGTCTTTATTAAGGGCTTGTCAGTCCATCTCACAAGTCAGGAGGAGGATGCATTCAGCCTCCTTTTTGAGGTGAGACGATCAAGACTAAGGTTTCCTTCCTTCCACCCTTCCTCCCTCTTTCCCTCCCTTCCTTCCTTTCTTGTATTCTTTTTCTCACGCCCTTCTTCTTAGTTTTTCACTTTGATAATCAGAATGAAAATTAATATATACTCATTTAGCAATTTCAGCTAGTTACTGAAAAAATATAGGAATAAAAAAAGAATTCGCTCATTTGTTTCCTACATATGGCAACAATGATGTATATTTTGGCTTATTTCCTTCCAGTCTTTTTTCCTGTGCAGTTTTTTCTTTATATAGTTGAAATTGTCCTTATGGTTTTTGGGTTTTATTTCCAATTAACATTAAATCATGAGCATTTGTGGTATAGAAAAAAATAAGAGTTAGTGTTCTTGGTATATAAAAGCTCTTACAAATCAATTTTAAAGTCCCACAGTGTATGTTATTCTTTTTTAAAAGTCATAGTGGTTGGAACTCTTATATATTGCTGGTGAAATGTAAAATAGTTCAGCCATTTTGGCAGTTTCCTAAAAAATTAAAATTAATTTTATCCATAGGACCTAGCAATTATACTCCTAGGAATCTACCCAAGACAATTGAAAGCATATGTGTACACAAAGACTTGTACACAAATATTCATAGCAGCAATATTCATAATAGCCAAAGACTTGTATGTTTATCTGACGCTGCGAAGCCTGAGTTTCTCTAGGTAAAGCCAAGGACTGCCATTGCTGGGTCATAGAGTATGTGTGTCTTAAGCTTTCTTAGATGATGCCAACTATTTTATTTTCCATTGTAGTTATCAGAATTCTCATTATTATGGCTTTAAAATTCTGATCAATCTGGCTGGTGTGTAGTGTTTCCCACTGTGGTCTTGGTTTGCATTTCTCTGATTACCAATGAAATTAGGAACTTAACATGTGTTTATTGACCATTTCGGTTTCCCTGTTCCTGTCTTTTGTTTATTTTCTTTACAGATGTCTTTTTTTTCTGACATATGTGTATAAATTCTTTGCATATTCTGAAAACTAGTTCCTTTTCAGTAAAACACTAGTTCTTTTTCTTTACTTTTTTTTTTTTTAAAGATTTTATTGGGGAATTGGGGGAGGGGACCAGCCAAGTTGTTGTTCTTCAATTTTCATTGTGGAGGGCGCCAGTTGCCATCTGGCTTCCTGTCGGCAACTCGTGGCCTCTAAGCTCAAAGTGCTGTGTTCAGTCTTAGTTGCAGGTGGGTGTAGCCACCATCCCATGCGGGAGTCGAACCAGCAGCCTTGTTAAGAGTGCATGCTCTATCCACTGAGCCATCCAGGCTGCAGCTCAGCTCAAGATGCCAAGTTCAATCTTAGTTGCAGGTGGGGATAGCCTACCATTGAAAAGGCAGTCTTGTTGTTACACCAGCTGAGCCATCCTGCCACCTGTTGGCAGCTCAGCCACAGCTCAGCTCAGGTGCAGCATCACTGGCCCATGTAGAAATTGAACCCGCAGCCCTGTTGCTCAGAGCTTGAGCTCTGAAGCCAACTTTTAACCAACTGAGCCACTCGGCCAGCCCTAGTTCTTTTTCAAGTATTTCTTTTTCATGTGTGTTGCAAATACCTCCTCTTTCCTGTGGCTTGCTTTTTCTCTCTCACTTTATGTGATATTTGATGAACAAAAAATTCTTAATTGATTAAGTTGAATGTGTATAAATTTTTTGTTTTGGCTTTTTGTGTAAAGAACATATAAGAGGATTAAAAAGAAAAATCCATTGGTAGAATTTACCAGTAAAGCCATGTGGTCCTTGACTTTTGTTTTAGGGAGGTTTTTGATTATTAATTCAATCTCCTTACTAGTAATGGGCCTGTTCAGATTTTTCTATTTTATCATGATTCAGACTTGGCAGTCTGACAGTCCCTATCTTTGAACTGAAGCATTTCATTCCATTTGCAATTAATGTAAATTATTAATATATTTCATTTTAAATCTGCCTCTTTTTCTCTCTCATTTATCATAGAAATAACAATTTGCATATTTAGTTGATATACACACATATATACACAAGTAAGTATGTATAACTGGTGAAATCTTAATAAGCTCTATGGATTATACCAATGTCAATTTTTTTTTTTTAAAGATTTTTTATTGGGGAATTGGGGGATGGGAACAGTGCTGGGGAATTGGGGGAAGGGGAACAGACAAGTTGCTGTCCTTTTGTTCTTCAGTCTAGTTGTGGAGGACGTTGCTTCACTGGCCCAAGTTGACACCATCATTGTGCTTCTGGACGGCCACTCACTGCGGCTGCTGGCCACTCACGCTGGCTGCTGGCTATATACGGTAGCCCGTGGCAACCCACTGCCACAGGGGCTGCAGCCTACGCCGTCGCCGGCGACTCAAAGCAGCCCAGCTCCAGGTTGAGCTGTTGTTCAGCATCTTAGCTGTAGAGGGCAGTGTCACTGGCCCTCATATGTGGGATCCGAACCGGGGCCCTCTGGTGTCCCAAACCAGTTCTTAACCATCGCGCCACTCGGCCGGCCCCTGTCAATTTCTTTTTTTTTTTTTTCTTTTTTTTTAGCTGAGCCATCCTGCCACCTGTTAGCAGCTTAGCGGTAGCTCACCTCCAGCCGGGACTCGAACCACTGTTGCTCAGAGCTCACACTCTTGAATGAGCTCTTAACCAAATGAGCCACTCAGCCAGCCCCCAATGTCAATTTCTTGGTTTTGATATTGTGCTATAGTTTTGCAAGATGTTATCATAGAGAGGCTGAGTTGTCATAGAGAGGTCCTTGCTGCCATTTCTTTGAGACGTCCTATAAATCAAAATAAACTACTGTTTTATCATAACATTATATTTATTTATTTATTTATTTTAAAGATTTTATTGGGGAATTGGGGGAGGGGAACATCCAATTTGTTGTCCTTCAGTCTTAGTTGTGGAGGGCACAGCTAGCTCAGCTCCAAGTCCAGTCGCCATCCCGCTGCCCGTCGGCAGCTCAACGGCAGCTCAGCTCTGGTGCAGCATCACTGGCCCATGTGGGAATCGAACCAGCGACCCTGTTACTCAGAGCTCGCACTCTTAACCAACTAAGCCCCTCAGCCAGCCCTTATTTTATATTCTTTATCTAATTCCACTACTTTATCTCCTTGAGTGTCAGTTCTGCAGGTATTCTTTCTACTGACTCTTGCTTACAGTGGCTTGTTTCTATGCTTTGTGATTTGATTATAAACTACTTTCTTGGAGCTTTATCAGTGGGTCAGGTCTTCTTTGAAGCTTGAGTTGGGAATATATTACTTTAGAGAAGATTTTATTTTTCTTTCAGGAGCCTAGGGGACATTACCACACCAGTCCAGGGCCTCTTTAAATGAAATGTCTATTTTAAGGTTGTCAAAACTTATAAGTAGTATGTGCTTATGCCCCAACCCCATGTATTTTTTCTTTAATTTTATATTTTATTTATTTGACATTCAGTATTGTTTTATATTAATTTCAGATGTATCGCAATCTCATGTTTGGTTGAGGTTACGATTGTGAATCCTTGGAGACATTATTTTACCCCTTCTATCCAGAGATACAGCCATTGATGAAATAGTTTTCTTGCTCTCCACTTTCTGCAGCAGATTTTCCTCTATTTCTCTTTTGCCAGAGGGCATAGACTTCAGGGATGTGGGTTATCAGACACCTCCCTTGGGTAGATCCAAAGCTTTTTCTGACTTCACCTGCGTGGCTGGATTACAAAGTGTTGAGTTCAGAACTGTGAAGGGACCCTCCCACAAGCATATGTACAAACAGACACACACATAGAAACTCCAGGCCTCTGAATTAGAAATCAGGTCTGTATTACTCAGCCTCACAGTGGTAGTAGTGACTATATTAGTATTGTAGCACAGTTTCCTATACCCCAATCCCCCATAGAGCAACACAGGGCAGATGTCACATGTGTTTACAGAAGGGAGGGGTGTCTGTACTACTGGAGAGAAATTGCAAAGTTATAAATCTGAGAGCTTATATAAGAGCTGGTACATTTGTTCCTCTTCCCCTCTGTGAGGGTAGAGAGAGACTGGGGGGTGAGGAGGCATGTAGGGACAGAAAGGGAGAATGAGAGAGAGCATGCTTTTATTTTGAAATGTAAGCAAATCCTCTCTTGGGAAAGGAGGGGAAGGTGTCTACCCTGGAATTTAAGCTTTTGGCTCTGGAGAAAAAGAAAGGTTTTTATCACCCTTTGAACAGGAACAGATGGTTCAGGTGGGGGGATGGGAAATGGAGGAAGTCATGGGGGGGGGCATAAGTTGTTCAGATCTTCCACCCTTAGACTGTGAAGAGCAAGTGGCTCTGGGAGAAAAGGAGATATTCTCTATCTTTATAACATGTCGATTTCATTGCTCAGAGAAACACCAAGAAATCCAGGAATGACTCCCTTAGAAGCACCTGGTCTGCAGGAGCCCTGAGGACAGTAAGAGCATTGGTCCTTGCTAATCGTTCCTGGATTCCTGCTCCTGCTCTTGCCTTGTGTCTGGCTGCCCTTACTTTCCTGCAGTCTCAGCCATGAATTCAATTCAAAAGGAAGTTTCAAATAATCTACCATCTTTAGGAATTTGGCAGTAGGAGGGTTTGTGAATACTTAGTCCAATACAATACTTATTGTATTGCTGGAAACCCTCTTCATGTTTTGGGCTGAGATACAGTGTAAAAGGTATAGGACTTGGAATTGGGGGACCTGGGCTCAAGTCCAGGTTTCTTTCAAGCTATGAAGCCTTAGCCTTGAGCAAATCATTAATCTCGTCCAGCCCTAGTTTGCTCATTTGTAAAGTGAACACTAATAGTATCTTATCCCAAAAGGTTGTTAAGAGAGTCAGATGGGGTCAGGCATTTTTTTCTTTTCTTTTTCAAAACTGAGTTATAATTGACATATAACATTATATTAGTTTTAAGTGAACAACATAGTAATTCAATATTTGTATGTATTGCAAAATGACTACAGAAATAAGTCTAGTTAACATTTGTCACCACACAGTTTTTTTTCTTGTGATGAGGACTTAAGATATACTCTCTTAGCAACTTTGAAATATATAATACAGTATTATTAACTATAGTCACCATGCTGTACGTTACATCCCATGGCTTGCTTATTTTATACATACCCAGAGGAGGCACTGCTGGGTCAGAGGGTAGGCCTAGTTTTGATTTTGTAAGGAACCTCCAGATTATTTTCCATGGCGGCTGACCAAGTGAGATCAGGCATTTTGAGCACCCACCACAGGGCCTCGCATGCAGTAAGTGCTCAGTGGGTGCTGTTCAGAAGCCTGATTTTTGGTATTTCTCGAGCACTCATATTTAGAATTGAACCAGGCATTTTGTTAGCAGTAATTCCTCAAACCTTGATGCCTTCCTGGGCCACATCCTTGTTGAGCTCTTATGGTAGAAGGACAAATTCGAGGCCTGAAGAAACTCACTGTGGGGTGGGGACAGGAGAGGGATAAACCTGTGACAACCAGGGCACAGTGTCAGCTGTGTTCCAGGAGTGGCAGGCACCTGGAGGGATGTGGGGTCAGCCAGCAAAGGACTCTTCATGGAGGAAAATGCACTTCTCTGGCCTGCGGCGGTTGTTTAATAGAAGCTAGAAAGACAAGAGGGCGCTTCAGAAGGAGGGGACTAAAGGATAAAGGTGAAGTGGCCCCTAATACTCTTGGTGAATGTCACTATATTTGTAGGACAGGTAGACAGTGAGAGGGCTATAGAGATTTAGCCATGGGGGCCAGCCAGGTCTGCTCCACAGCCTGGGTCCTCCCCTTCTCTTTGGGTGCTCCACTCTCTCCAGGGGCCCATGGCATCACTGCTTTGGGGCTTATTCATAGGGACCTTTTTCGTCTAAGATCTCCACCACACCTCCTTTTAAGTATATTCTGGTCATAGGGCCCAATCCTGCGAATTAGAGGCAAGGACCTGCTGTCCCTTTAAAAGTACAAGTTACTGATTTTTTTCCTAATTTTTAAAAGTAGCACATGTTCACTTTAAAAAACTATTGAAGCACAAACCTGTATAAAAAAGAAAAAATGACCCATAAACCTCAATGTAGAAGTGACTATCATTACCCTCTTGGTAGCAGCATCTGTTTATCCTTTCTTCTATCAATGCTTTTGCATTCCTTAATTGTTCCATCATATAATTTTGTCCTTTGTTCTGGTAAGGTGGTGTATCACCTTGATTGACTTGTTTATATTGAACCATCCTTGCATCCCAGGGGTAAATCCCAGTGGTCATGGTGTAAGATCCTTTTTTTAAAATTTTCTTTCTTTCTTTCTTTCTTTCTTTCTTTCTTTCTTTCTTTCTTTCTTTCTTTCTTTCTTATTTATTTTTTTAAAAGGTTTTTATTGGGGAATTGGGGGATGGGAATAGTGCTGGGGAATTGGGGGAAGGGGAACAGACAAGTTGCTGTCGTTTTGTTCTTCAGTCTAGTTGTGGAGTATTTATTTATTTTTTTTAGCTGAGCCATCCTGCCACCTGTTGGAAGCTCAGTGGCAGCTCAGCTCGGGCTGGGAATTGAACCGGCGACCCTGTTGCTCAGAGCTCGCACTCTTGAGTGAGCTCTTAACTAACTGAGCCACTTGGCCAGCCCTCAAGATCCTTTTAATGTACTGTCAAAGTCAGTTTGCTGTGATATTGGATTCTGCCTCCCTCTGTTATTAAAAACTATTTGCCAACATTTTCCCACCTGCATAGCATTCCATTATACAGATAGGTCATTCCCTACTTGTTGGTTGATTTATGATTCAATATTTATGAACATTTTGAAAGCTCTTAATTCTTCTTGCCACTTGGCTTTTAGAAAGCTATACAAATTCACACATCCATAGCAGTGGGTGAAAGTACATTAAAACCTTGGATTGTGAGTAACTTGGTTTGCAAGTGTTCTGCAAGACAAGCAAACATTTCTAATACATTTTAACTTGGTAAACACGCGATGTCTTGCAATACGAGTAGTTTGTTTCTGGAACGAATTATGCTCGCAAACCAAGGTATTACTATATAGGCCTGGATCCCAACTTGTCTCCCCTTCTACTAGTTTACGAATGAGATTTGCCTGGGAGGCCTGGCTGACTGCTGTGATATGAGATCACTTGTGTAACTGTCAGTATAGTTGAAACGACCCAAATGTTTTGTTATTTAAAAATTTTTAAATGTCCACATTTTCCCTCCTCTTCAGGGAGAAACCAACAGGATTATAGCCTCCCATGCGATGAACAAAAACTCATCCAGGTCGCACAGCATTTTCACCATTTATGTGGAGGTAAGTACAAGCTTTCTGAATAGCCTGGGAGGGACAGCTGATTCCCAGGGGGCCTGCTCAGTCAGGAGCTTCTCCCCATGACCTCCTAACCTCTGTTTGGATGTTTCATAGGCTCATTCCCGGACCTTATCAGATGAAAAGTACGTCACTTCCAAAATTAACTTGGTGGATCTAGCAGGCTCGGAAAGGCTAGGGAAGTCTGGGGTAAGTGAGGGGAGCAGGAGGTTCCTTCTGCACAAGCCATGGCCCTGTTTCTGGCACAGTGCCCTCACTGGGTGTTCATGAGCAGTCCTGGCCCAGCCACAGAAGAGAAGGTGGGCTTGACCCTGTGGAGCTGGTGAAGCAGAATCAGCAGAGGTGGAACGGCTGCAACACAGAGCAGCTCCTACTGACGGGACTTCTCTAAACAGTCGATGAGGCGATGGCCCCTAAATTTCTAGCACGATGCTGGGCACTCAGTAAGTGCTCAGTAAAACGCTAGTGTTAGCATTCCTCTGTGTATGAGCAGGATGGTTCTCAGGACTATTTGCATGAGCACCTCATCACAAATAAATATTCATATGAGTGTTAGTATTAGCATAAGTATTCGCAGGACTATTCAGGTGAGCATTCTTTGTGCGTCTGTAGGCGTGTTTGTATTTCTGTAAATGTTCGTAGGATTATTTGCTCAAGTATCTGCACAAATATTCCTATGTGTCTTCATATTAGTGTGAATCTTACATGAATATGAATATTCACATAAGTATTCATATTCACATGAGCATTCACATAAATATTTGCATGAGTGTTCCTGTGAGTATTAGTATTAGCCCAAGATGGAACACAATCCCTTGACGTTGAGAGAAGACCCCGGTTCTGGGAGGTGGGCTCTGGCTTGGCCACAGACCTGCAGTCTTCTTAGTGGGGCAGTCTCTCCACCTGGTCTGAAGTGGAACTGACCTTTGGTTTGTAGTCTGAGGGCCGAGTCCTGAAGGAAGCCACCTATATCAACAAGTCGCTGTCATTCCTGGAGCAGGCCATCATTGCCCTTGGGGACCAGAAGAGGGAACACATCCCCTTCCGGCAGTGCAAGCTCACCCACGCCCTGAAGGACTCGCTAGGTGAGGGCATGGTTGGTACACTGGGAGGAGGGATAGGCCTGGCATATCTGCTGCCGGTGATGAGGGAATTGCTCCTTCCGGGGGCATGGACTTACCTGCAGCCTTTTCACGGCGACGTCAGACACACCTGAAAAGGCAGACTCGAGCGTAGCGCCTTCTTCTTTCACCCACAACGTGACATGCTGGTCACTCCTCAGAACCTTTGCTTAAGCCTCTCCCGGGAACACTTTCTCATGTCCCCTCGTCCCTAGACCAGCTGGCAGAAGCTTCCTTCACCTTGCTTGTGTGGAGGGCCTCTCCCGTGACATCGTCCCTTCACCTACAGCCTCCCCCACAGAGGGGCAGGTGCCGTATCTTGTCATCCTTGTGTCCCCAGGCTTTTGTGTTGGGCCTGATCACACAGGCATTAGTGTCTGGTCATTAATTGAGTGCTGCCATGAGCAAAGTCTGCCCCTGCCCCTCCCGGCCCCAAACCATCTCTCCTCTGCTGTCTCCCTGGCTCCAGCTGGTACAGCGGGTGGCCTCTCCCCTTCTGTCCCCTCTCTTCCCCTCGCCTCCCAGCCTCATACCTGCTTGGACGTGTGCTCCCGAAGCCTGTCTTAATCAGCCTGCGCTGCTATAGCAAAATACCACAGACTGGGTGGCTTGAACAACAGACATTTATTTCTCACCGTTCTGGAGGCTGGAAGTCCCAGATCAAAGACTGGCAGGGATGGTTCTGGTGAGGACTGTCTTCCTGGCTTGTAGATGGCTGCTTTCTCACTGTGTCTTCGCATGGCAGAGAGAGAGAAAGGGAGAAAGAATAAGAGGCTAGCTCTGGTCTCTCTTCCTCTCCTTATAAGGGTGCTACTCCCATCATGGGGGCCCCACTCTTGGGACCTCCTCTAAACCTAATTACGTTCTAAAGGCCCCACCTCCAAATACCATCATGTTGGGGGTTAGAACTTTAATATGTGAATTTGGGGGAGCACACAAACATTCAGCTCATAACAGACCCCCACCAGCCTCAAAGGAATCTCTTGACAGAAAGCCCACATGGTTCATGGCCCTTCTGTGTCCTGCTTTCTGCAGGGGGAAATTGTAACATGGCCCTCGTGACAAACATCTATGGAGAAGCCGCTCAGTTAGAAGAGACGGTACGTAAAGACAGCCAATGCAACCAGGCTGGATTCCCTCCTCGTGGGTGGCAGGGCTGGCTCAGCTGGCTCAGGGCTGGCTCAGCTGGCACACTAGCCTCGCCATACACATTGTCAAGAGTAGAGGGATCCAGGGATGAGTCTGAGCCAAAATTGCGGAGGGGGCCCAGCCAGGATCCAAATACCAAGTACCAAGGTGCAGAAGCTGTGTCAAGAAAGAGGCAAGGCAGGAGGCAGGCTCAGCATGGGGGAGGAGAGAAGGCTGAGAGCCAGCTTTGCGGGGGCAAAGACCATGCTCCCCCGAGTGCTGCTCCTATGAATTGGAATCGAGAAGGACAGCTGATTCCTTGTTCTTCATAATCACCCATGTTTAAAAATCTTGAAAATAGCTCAGGGTTCCAGGCCCTGGTTATAAGGCTGTGTGAGCTGATAGGTATGACGCATCTGCCATGTGCAAGGTGGTGGAGAGGGGAGCAGCTCAGTAGAGATGAGTCATACATGGCCTCAGAGTTCCCAGCCATGGCCTTGAGTAATGTGAGAGGCCTAGATGGAGGACTTCTTCAAAGGATGGGGGATTTTTCCTGAAGCTGAGGTGAGGAAGGTGGGCACTGAGCTGGCTTGGTGATAGGGAAAGCAGAGATGTTCCTGGCAGAGGAGACTGTGGGCCTGCAGGTGTGTGGTCCATGTCAGGCACATCTGGCCACCGCAGGGGAAGGCTCAGGAAGGAGAGGAAGAAGAAGAAACTGCCGGAGCTGGATGAGCTCTGGTGGCCAGGCTGAGGCCTTGGCTGCCCTCCCGCAAGTGGCTGGGGCTATCACAGGGTTTGAGTAGGAAAGGGCTGTGGCCAGAGTTGTGACTCAGGGAGATTAACCCAGCAGCAGGACACAGGTGACCTGGGAAGGGAAGAGGCTCCTGAGAACCAGAGGCCAGAATACAGGCTGAGACCCTGACACAGGTGAGCCACACAGCTGGATACCCAGCTGCGGCTCCCTCCTTCCTCTGAAGGGCCACCCATCATAATAAGACAGGTTTGAAAGCTCTCCTTAGAAATGTTGTTTTTCAAATGTGAATGTTTAGGGCAAGCTTCAGTCATCTGGAGAATCCACGTAGGTCGTTTCCAGGGACAGTGGAGGGCAAGATGCTCTTGCAGGGCCTTCTAGCTTCTTGCTTTAGGGACCATCCCAGCTCCCAGGGGTAGCTCTCCTGCTACACAGTCAGTGCCCTGGGACTTGGGAGGCCACGGATGGGAGCTCCAGCTGACATACAGGCAGCATCCCCAGAGGAAGGCCTCAGGAACCTCCTGGTCTCATGGTATAACAACAAAGCATGGTTGAACCCCAAGAGGAACCATATGAAATGGGGCCTCCTGGCTGCCTTGTTGAGAAAGATGCTCTCCAAGACAGTGGAAGAAGCCCCCTGTCCCCTACCCCCACCCTGAGCTAGGTACCGCACAGGAAGCAACTCCTCTGGTACCTGCCATCCCCAGAAGCTTGTGCCCACACCACTCGGGGTCCATGCCCGGGACTGAGCCCACAGAGCCCCGAGGAGCTGCTGGAGGAGGGGTCTCAGGGGTTTGGGACAAAGGTGTATTGGGGTTGGAAGCTAATGATTCTTAAAAGCTTTCCAAGTCTTCCTGTCACGTTGCTTTATGCAGTGACACTGCCTGTATGTGTGGGAGTGACCACAGCAAGGGAGCTGTGACCACACCTGCTGCTGCGCTTGGAGCAGGGGAGTGATTTCACCCTACACAGAAGCAACTCCAGCTGTAACGACAGGGGGCTCTTCCTGGGCCATTTCTGTCCAGAGCACATCACACCCCTCATAGCTAAGTCTCCCAGGGACCCCGTGAGGCAGGTCTGCCCACTTCACAGAGAAGTTACAAAACCTGTCTGAGGTTGCACAGCTGTTCAGCTGTTCACCACCAAACCCTGTCACAGGGTTTGAGTAGGAAAGGACGGTGGCCAGAAATGACAGGACTCAAGGAAGAGCCCTGTCTGTCTTTCCTCTGGGCCACTTCTGGGTGACCCACCCACCCTCCAAGCCTGCTTCCCTGTTGGCGGGCCCCAAGTCGGCCCAGTGTGGTATGAAGTTGGGATCTCAGGGCTAGCCTCGTGTCACCACTGGCTGCTCCCACTGCCAGGGAGCAGCCCTCCACCCCTCATGTAACAGCAGTGCAGCGGGGCAGTGTCAGGGCTGTTGCCCAAGCACCTGCTTATGTGGCTGCCTCATGGGCCTCCAGCCATAATTACCCCTGGCTGGCTGCCCTTCCAGAGGGACTCACAGGACCCCCCCACCAACGTCACTCCTTGGGGCCCGGGAGACCCCGCAGTCCACTTTGGAGCATGCCTCCACACAGGGATTTGTTGTTTTTTGCCTGTTTTGCACGTACCTCTACTCATAAGTAATTGGCCAAAAGCATGGAGGTCTGTCTGATCTGTTCTCAGCTGTCTTCACTGCGGTTTGCCAGCAGGATGAAGCTGGTCACCACTGAGCCTGCCATCAACGAAAAGTGTGATGCTGAGGTACTAAGGGCCCTGTGGGTGGGCGTCTCCCTGAAGGCAATGTGTGGCTTCCCTGCCTGCCTCAACCAAAGATGCCATCCTGGGTCACCCCTTTCCACTCTGGGATAGGCCACAGTCTTCTGAGTCCCTGGAGACACCCTTGGGACAGCCACAAAGGCAGTAGGGCTGGGTCAGGCCCCCACCCAGTTCACACGTGGGCCACTGAGTCCCTGGGCTTCTGTGAGAGTTCCTGAGCGCTGTCTCGGGGCTGAAGCAAGTGGACCATCGCTCAGGCTCACTGGGTCGGTCACTACAGACCAACTTTCCTCCCGGCCTGAGTGGTCCCTCCCAGCCAGCAGAGCTGACCAACCAGAGGGGGTGCTCAGCATCACCATTAATTGGGGAAATGCAAATTTAAACCTTAGTGGAATTTCCCCCTCAGCCTAGCAAAAATTGAATGTTTCTGACAATGCCCAATGATGGTGAGGATGTGCCCGAACAGGAAGGCCTCTCGATTTCTGGTCAGAGTATCATGGATTCAGCCACTTTGGAGAGCATTTGGCAACATGTAGTAAAGTGAAAACACGTTTACCAGTCATTTGGCTTTCCTTTTAGATGCTATGGAATCATGCATGCACTAAGCTCGTGATAAACCAGTCAGACTTTCCAGATTCTAAATCCTGAAGGAAAACGAGTCCCTGTGGCTCTGTGGGACTAGCCATGGTTTAGAGGCTGAGGAGGGAACAGAGCTTAGTGCAGTGGTTCTCAGACTTGAGCTGGCATCAGAGTCAGCCTTGTCAGGCTTGTAAAACCACAAGTCCCTGGACCCGTTCCCAGAGTTCCCGATTCCGTCACTCTGGGTTGGGGCCTGAGGATTCGCCTTTCTCAGTTCCCCAGGGACGCTGCAGCTGCTGCTGCCCTGGAGCCACATTTGAGGACCACTGGCTCAGTGGTTAAGAGCCCTGGCCCCTGCACTGCTGGTGTAAAGGTGGTGAGCCACCGGCATGAACAGACAGCAGAGAGAGGCTTGGGGTATCCCACTCTGCCAGCAGGAAATACATCTGCAGGCGGGGGTGGGGTCACAACTGGGAAATTTCACAGGCTGAGAGCTGCCCTAGCCCGTGCGGGACTTAAGCAGAACTCTCTGAATTATCCTCATTGTGTTTATGATGAAAGCACTTGACCACCAGGAAACTTACTTGGGTCTGTGCTGTTTCCAAGGCATTCATTCTATCCAGAAAATGTTCCTGATTTTTAGAAGGGAGTTGGTCAGCCAGGAGGTGCTCCCAGACCCTATTTTGTGGGGTGTGCTGCTCCAGCCCTATGTTTTGAAGCAGCTTCTCTCCAGTCAGCAGAAAAGGGCAAGTAGAGGCCACTAAACCTGTCAGGCACTAGGAGAAGTGGCTCCCATGCTCTCAGGATGTGACATGGAGGCTGGTGACCCATAGGAGTAGATGGCCCGTTTCCCCACATCACCATAGTTGGTCCAGAAGTCTAAGCTGGGTTCCCCATGCTATATTGCTGAGGACTCCCAGCAGCTCAGCCAGACTTTTCCTAGCTGGGGCATGATGCATATTCTAGAGCTGAGATCCCTCAGATGGGACAGGATGAGTAGGGGCTAGCCAACAAGCCTCTCCTGTTCACCTCATAGGAAGTCCACCTGAAGGAGACAATCTTGGTGCTACCCAGAGGGACAGAGACAGGATGGACCCTGGTCATGTGCCTTGAGTACCAGGCTTTGTATCCTGAATTGCCACAGAGCCACCCCTTGCTGTGGACTGGTCACACACACTTTTAGTCACCAGTCCCAGGATTCAGCTGTCAGGGGCTCCCTCCAGTGGCCATTTTTGACAACTAAAGGAAGCCCTGTTCACAATGAAGGTTCTCAGCATAAAATCCCTATATTCGTCTAACACAGCAGTTCTCAACCTGTGGGTCGCGACCCCTTTGGGGTCGAACGACCCTTTCACGGGGGTCGCCTAAGACCATCGGAAAACAAAAAGATATTTACATTACGATTCATAACAGTAGCAAAATTACAGTTATAGAGTAGCAACGAAAATAATTTTATGGTTGGGGGTCACCACAACATGAGGAACTGTATTAAGGGGTCGCGGCATTAGGAAGGTTGAGAACCGCTGGTCATGAAAGGTGCTCAGATAGCATCTATCAACTGTAAAGTGACTTAGCAATTCTGTTGCTAGAAATGTATTATGTACTCATTCGCCTAAATTTTTGGACTGCTTACTGTGTACCAGGCACTTTTTTTTTTTAACCAGGCACTTTTTGAAGCACTTGGAATGCATTAGTGTACAAACAGAAACACAAATCTCTGAAGAGCTGACAGTCTGCTGGGAGTGGGAGAGATAGATATAATTAACATAAGAAATAGGTCAGTTCTAGATCCTGCCATTTGCGACAACATGGATGAACCTGAAGGATATTATGCTAAGTGAAATAAGCCAGACACAGAAAAAAAACCACAAAAAACTCATCTGTGGAACCTAAAAAAGTCGAAGTCATTGAGGAAAGAGTAGGGCAGTGGTTACCAGGAGTGTGGGCAGAGGCCCAGGAATGGGAGATGTTGGTCAAAATAATTTTCAGTTACAAGACGAGCAAGTTCTGGGGATCTAATGTACTATGGTGATTATATTTAATAAACCTGTATTATATACTGGAAAGTTGCTAATACATTAGATCTCAGATACTCTTACCACACACAAAAATGGTAACGAGGTGAGGAGATATATATGTTAATTAGCTTGACTGTAGTAATCATTCCACTATGTATACGTATATCAAAACATCATGTTGTACACCTTAAATACATATAACTTTTAAAAAACATTTTAAAAAACCAAAGTAGGGGCCAGCCGAGTGGCTCAGTTGGTTAAGAGCTCGCTCAAGGGTTTGAGCTCTGAGCAACAGCGGTTCGAGTCTGGCCTGAGCTGAGCGGCCAACAGGTGGCAGGATGGCTCAGCTAAAAAACAAAAAAACAAAAAAACAAAGTAGGTAAGTTCTAGAGCTTCGCTGTTCAATACAGTAGCCCCTACTCACATATGGCTGCTTAGTTAAAATTAAATAAAATTTAAAATTCACTTCGTCATACTTGTCACATTTCAAGTGTTTAATAGCTATATTTGGCTCGTGGCACAGATAGAGAACATTTCCACCACCACAGAAAGTTCTATTAGACAGTGCTGCTCTAGGGAATGTTGGCAATACGTGCTATGAAAAAAATTAGAGCAAGATTTTTAAAGAGTGGTGTGGGGGTGGGGGGCTTGCAGTTTTACCTAAGGTGATTGAAGTGTGCCTGATTTAGAAGCTTTTGAACAAAGCCTTGAAGGAGGTGAGGGTGTAAGCCATGGAAATGCCTGGGAGAAAAGTGTCCCAGGCAGAGGGGACAGGTAACACAGAGGTGGGAGTATGCCAGTTCGGGGGAGAGCGGTAGGTAAGAGGTAATGGGGGCGGATCACGTAGAGCCTTAGAGATCACTGTGTTATCCTATAGAAACCTATAAGGACACAGAGGTATAAGTACAAAGATGCTCTTGCAGCATTATCTGTAGAAGCAAAACATTGAAGGTGACCCACATGATTATCAATGGGGAATGGTGATACGTTTGTGCAGTGGTTGGGAAGGATGAGGGTAAAAGGTATGGCTGTGTGTGGAAAGCATCCTGGAGGCGTGGGCTGCTCTGAGAGGGACATTACCCTGGTACCCTGAAAATATCTTGGGAGTACCGGGGAGTTGGGCTTTGAGGTGGCCCTGTGCTGAACTCTGTTCCATTCTCCTCTGCTATAATAGGCAGAGGCCAGGGACTGCTGAGGCCCCCTCAGGCTCTAAACTCACCCCATTTTGGGAAAAGTCACCTGTGGGGAGGGAACTGTCTAGATGCTGAGATCATACCCTGTGGATTACCAGCATGGGCCAGGGTGTCCGGGCACAGGTGGGGATGGTGGGCTCGAAGTGGGAGAGGCAGGGTGACCTCTCTGACTGTCCTCCCTGCTCCCGCCAACTATGCTTCCCTGGCAGCGAATGGTCAAGAACCTGGAGAAGGAGCTGGCACTGCTCAAGCAGGAGTTAGCCGTCCATGACAGCCTGGTAAGGGGCTAGAAGAGGGGCCGGGGTGGGGCGGGGGGAGGCGGAATGCTAGAGGAACTGGAGTCAGGGTACCAGGAGGCAGAAGGACTAGGTGGGGAGGGGCGAAGGGGTCAGGGTAGGGATGCTGGATGGGCAGAGGGGGGTGGATGGACAGGGAGCCAGATGGGTAAGGAGCCAAGTAGGCAGGTGGGGAAACAAAGATTGGTGGGGGGTGGCAGAGGGGCTGAGGGGCCAGGGAGGCCTGGTGGGCAGGGGTATCCGATGGTCAGGGATCAGCGGTGGGCAACAGGAGGAGGAGGGGCAGGGGGCCAGGGGCCTGGCAGGTGGGAGTACAAGGGCAGACAACACAATGGGCTGAGGTCCAGGGAGGAGGGGGAGCGGCAGCTGCAAGGGGCCAGTGTGGGCAGGGGTGGGAGCAGGAACCCTCCCATGGGCCTCACCCTGCAGTGTGCTAAGACTCAAGCAGCAGAACCCCCGGCTTGAAGTGGCAGGACCCCGTTGGGCGGCCTTTCCGTCCCTCCCTGACCCAGTTGTCCCTTACTGACTGGAGCACCTAGACTGTGAGTCAGTCGGTCTCTGCCAGGACCTGATGTGAAGGCAGTGGAGCTGGCTTGGCGGCCAGGGCCTGTGCCCAGGCTCCCCACCTTGGATCTCAGAATGTCCTCTGCTGCCCCTACTAGGGCTCCCATGCTTCAAGCTCATGCACATGTTCTTTATGCTCCTCTAAGGCCAACCGCACCCATGTGAACTACGACCCCATGGATGAAATCCAGATTGCCGAGATCAACTCCCAGGTGCGGAGGTACCTGGAGGGGACACTGGATGAGATCGATGTAAGGAGTCCTTCCTTGGGCCCCCCCATGCCCACCCCACCTGGGCCTCCCTGTCCCGGTCATACCTCAGCTGTGCTGTGTCTGCCTTGGAACCCCACACTGAGTGGGTGCCATGGGCGTAGCGTGGGTGGTGCTAGACCCCTGGCCTCAGGTTCCCTTTAGCCCATCAAGGCTTCAGCTTCCATATTTAGGCTTACAAGGCTGTGGGTGCCCCGCAGAGTGGCCAGCAGCCATGAACACATGGGAGGTGATCCATTACTGGGGCACAAGCACAGGCTGTGGAGCCAGGCTGCCCTGGATCGAATCCCAGCTCAGCTGTCTCCTTGGGAAGTAACTTCAGCAAAATGCTCCCCTTGTGTACTTTGGTGGCCTCGCCTGTACAGTAGGGAGAGAAGCGAAGCTGGGGTGAACTGAGCTGCAGCACCTCGGGTGCGTGGCTGTGGCAAGTGGAGTAAGGCTGTCCAAGGATGATGGTCGTGCTGGTTGTCTCTAAGGAAGACCCCCCCCCCCAGGGCCCATGCTGGAGTGGGCCAAGGAGGAAGAGACAGCAGCCATACAGGGAAGGGCCCTCAGGGGGAAAGAGCATTGTGTCTACAATTCAGGCCAGCAAACCCTTCACTGGGGAGCTGCACGGACAGGACCCACCGCCGCCGCCACGTTGCTGTGGGCAGCAGGGGCAACTGAGGGGTAGGCTCTTCTTCCTGCCGAACAAGGGCAGCCCCAGACTGCCCCTTGGTCAAGGGCAATGCTTGTAGGCTGCAGGGCCAAGAGGGAGGCCGGTGGTCTTCCTCCAGGCGCAGGTGTGTATGTGCCTGTACCCACAGAAAGGTTCATCACAGAACCTTCTGGAAGCAGGAAAGAGCCGAGGACAACAAATTTTATTAAATTTTTTTCTTACGATTTTCAAGAACTGAGTCATTTTGATTTTATAGAGATCGTCACTTAGAAAAGGTGATTTTTTTAGGCTGGCCAAATTGCTCAGTTGGTTAAGAGCTCGCTCAAGAGTGCAAGCTCTGAGCAACAGGGTCGCTGGTTCGATTCCCGGCCCGAGCTGAGCTGCCAATAGGTGGAAGGATGGCTCAGCTAAAAAAAAAAAAAAAAAAAAAGTGATTTTTATAGCCTCAGTAAATACTTGGTTTGAAATCTATTAATCAGATTGAGACAGGCTTACACTGCCACTTTGCTGAGAGTCTGTTTAAGGAATTCCTATTTTCAAGACAGATGGTCAATGGGTTAGCCCAGGGATCCTGGTTTCTCTACTAACATAGACAGCCTTGGTCCTGGGGTGCTGAGGTCTAACTTTTGCCTTGCTCTCTTCCTTCCAGATAATTAACCTCAGACAGATCCAGGAAGTGTTCAACCAGTTCCGGGTGGTTCTGAGGTGAGGGACGCTCCCTATTCACCTGATGCCATTTTTATTTCCTGTGGTTTGGATACAGCCTCCAACCACCCCTCCATGTCCTCAGCTTCCATATTTAGTGTTACAAGGCTGTGGGTGCCCTACAGAGCGGCGTCTCTCCTGTGTGAGGAGCCAGATCACAGTCCTCGGGGTGTGCCCAGCACCTGGTGTCCCCAACAGTCTCTGCCCCCGAGCTCTCAGATCCTCCTGCCTTTCCCTCCCCCTGAGGGAAGGGGTTAGACAGCCGTCCAGCTGAGGGCTACTCAGAGAGAAGGCGGTCCCTGGTGGATGTTTTCCTGAGTTCATCAGTTGGATCAGAGGTCTTCGTGGTGTGCCAGCCCTGAGCGTGGCCAGAACAGGGCATCATGAATCCTCCCTGTTCCCCCACCCCCACCTCAGGAGGCATTTGTGGTTTATTTGGGCACACACATACCTGTAGCCTGAGTGGCTCATGCTGGGTGGTGTCACAGAAGCTGGTCACATGATTCCAAAGGCCTGTTAGAGACAGAACCCAGGCAGGGAAGCATGGTCCCCAGGCAGGCTTACTTACAGTCCTTGTTAAAGTCATTTTGGAACAGATGTGCCTGGCACGTAGGGTACACCCTGCAGATTTCTGGGCTGGACAATGAGTGTGTGTACTGGGCAGTCAGGGGCGTGGAATGAGCTTGTTGTGTCTGGTCGGGCGCATGCCGATGGCCTGGCTCTTTCACAAGGGGCCACACCCAGATGACTTCTAACCCCAGTATGTACTTGGTTCTTGATCCAGAGGGTTCAGTGTGGCCTCAGGTGCGAGGTATTCTCTCACTTTCTCTCCCAAGTCAACAGGAACAGGAAGTGGAGTCCAGTTTGCGCAGGAAGTACACCCTCATAGACAAAAATGACTTGGCAGCCATTTCTGCTGTCCAGAAGGTAAGCAGAGTTGGCTCTTGCTGACAGCACGTGTCAGACTTTTTACATCCCTGGACCTTTCAGGAGGCAGCAAATGTCCTTTAAAGTGTCCATTAAAACAAATCTAGGGCTGGAACAGAAAATGGTAACACCAGATGAGTGGGGGGTAAACAATAAAGAATCAAACATATATGATTCCAAGTGACCTCCAAAATTGGAGACGTGGCTAATAATAAACAAGACCGATTCCTGAAGCTGGTTTGGGAACAAGCCTTAGGGTCCTTAGGGTATTGAATAAGACACTGGACCAGCGAGACAAGTTGATGAGGAAAGTGGACATTTGATGGGGTGGTCAGAGACAACTCTGTTGCGGAAGCCTGAAGCCAACAGCAGCAGCAGCCACATGTGGTGTGGGCTGAACATCCCCACCTGAGCCTTTGGTCCATAGACACTTGGGTCCCTAAGAGGCCCAAGCCTTTAATCTAACCCTCGGCCCTGCGGCTGGCCTCTATCTAGGCAGGGCTTGTGGATGCTGATGGCCACCTAGTGGGCGAGCCCGATGGACAAAGCTTTGGATTTGGGGTCGCCTCTTTCACTGCCAAGGCTGGGAAGAAACCCAAGTCCAGGAAGACAATGAAAGAGCAGCCCAGGTGAGTACTTCCTGCTACACGGCCTGTTCAGCACCTGGACCTCCTTGGCTGGGGAAGGGAGGACACAAGCTGTCTCCCTCTTCCCCCTGGTATCTTAGCTACTGTGTGGTCATAGTGCGTGTCACTGCTGCCAATACTAGCAACATCTGTGGGGCCCAGGCTGGGGCTGGTCACTTCCCACCCGCACAGCAATCCCATGAGGTGGGAGATCATGGCTCCATTTTATTGATGAGGAAATCCCCTCAGAGAGGGAAAGTCACTTCCAAGGTCACATGGCTGCTGAGTGGAAGAGTCGAAGTGAGAAGCTGGGCCAGCACTTGCCCTCTGATACTTTCTATGGAAATCCCACCTCCCAACAGGGTCCTTCTGTGACCCAGCGGACTGGCACTCACATCACCTAAAAACCCCAATTCACCTTTCAGGCAAGACTTTGTGGGTGCAAGGTGGGAAGAGGGTCAAGTTTCACTTAATGAGCCACCCTCCCTGGGAGGTGGTGTGTAATGGTGGACAGAGCACAGGCTCCAGAGGTGACACCTGGGCCCGCCTCCCTGCTCTGTACTTCTTTCTGCAAGGGGTCACCTTGTGAGAGGCACGGGAGCCTCTCTGTGTCCTGTTTCCCCATCTCTAAAATGGGAATAATACTATCATCGAAGTCACTGGGGTGGTTGTGAGGAGAAGCGAGTGAATACAGTCCCTGTACCTGGAAAGCACCCAACAGGAATCTGTTGTTACGTTATCATCACTTGAAAAAGGATGTGGCCAAAGCCAAAACTGTCACATGCAAGATGGGAGTTGGGTAGCAGGGGTTGCGGATGCCCCTGGCCTCATCTTGTCTCTCCAGAGAGGTCAGTCACACCTGGGCCCTCTCTGTCCTGCCACTGGGTAATCGATGCAATAACAGATGGATCAGGGCTTGACCCCCCAAACTACACTTGTTGCAAAAAGAAGAAAAGAAGAGGAAACAGTGAAAAGATGGGATGGGGTGGGGGGCATCCTCCTGTCAGCTCAGGCCTGCTTAGATGTGCCTCTCTGGGAGGGAGGACCCTGGGCACCATCGCTTGGAGGGGGCAGATGGCTCCTTTCCTGGGAGCACTGACGTAGGCAGGGAGAAGAGGTTGTGGACTGGTCAGAGCAACAGGGCATACTTGTCCTGCTTTCCCACTGGTCTGCAGATAGACCCACCCTGGGTGAGGGCTCTGCCCCTCCTTCCCAGAGATGTCTGTGTGACTAATACCTCAGCAGCCATTGCACTCCTGAGAGCCTGTGGCCCACCTCACAGGTCCACACGCTTTCAGGCCTGGAGACAGCCCATTCTTCCCAGGTGTCTCCTGCCGAGACTGCTGCAGGGAGAGCTCCTTGTTCTGATAAAGGGACAAAAATGCTCTCCTCTTCTTGCCCATCTGCAAGGCTTTGGGTCATACTCTGCCCTTTGGCCTAGGCATATGATCAAGATAGGAGCTGAGTGGGCTGGGCCTCCTGGTGTATGAGGGCTGACAAAGGCTGGCGTGGGAGCCACCTCACTCCCCACGACGGAGTGGAGTCTACCTGCCTTCTCCTTCCAGCTCTTCAGCAAGAAAGGAAGGTGCCAGCAGCCCCGTAAGTGGCAAGGACTTAGATATTTTCACCTCCAAGACCCAGCTGACTCCATCGTCCAAGGATGGGGATGTCAAAGACATGCTTCTGCGGGACCGGGAGACCTCCTACAATGAAACTCTTCCCTTGGACACCCCAAAGGAGGAACTACACCCACCCAGGTGACCATCTACCACTAGCTCCTGCACCAAGTCCTCCAAAACCAGAGTGTGATCCTTAATATGTAAAGAGCACCTGCAGATAGAAGAGAAGTAAAATGGGGATAATGGGCAAAGACTAGAAGCACAGTCCAAAAAGCAGCAGCATGATGGCTTATACACATGCAAAGTGGTCCAACCTCAGGAGTCATCCAGGATACACAATTGTACATGGAATCATTTTAGACCCTCCAAATAGCAATTATTTAAATAATTTAATTTACATATTTTTGAAATAAGTTATGTACTCAAAAGGTACAAAATTCTCAAGGTAGAGACCCCTTCCTCCAGCCACACAATTCCTCTCCCTGGTGAGTCAGTAATTGAGTTTTTAGGACTCTATCCCGAGGAAATAATCACAGATGTGGACAGAGATTTATGCAAAAAGATGTCCATTGCATTATTAATTTAAAAAGCTAAAAAATTTTTCTTTTGAAAAACTTTCAATAGGCAAATCAGGGAAAGGGCTCTAAGTAAATTATTATCTCTGCTTTTGACATGTACAAGGATGTGCATGAAGAATTTTTCTCCCAGCTTGTGAGCATTTCCAAACATTCAGAGAAGTTGAAAGAATTACACAGTAAGCCCCTCTTGATTCTCTAATTAACACGTTACTGCACTTATTTCATCATGTGTCCGTCCGGCTTTCGCTCCCTGCATTCATATTAATTTCTGATGGATTTCACAGTACGTGGCAGACAGTCCCCTTCCTCTGCCCCAACACTCCATCTCACGGCTCACTACCGAGAGTTCTCGGAGAGTGTTTAACAGCATGAAAGAATGCTTCTGTGAAAAAAAGGAATGATTCCTACAGTTTAGCTCCCATCTGGGGTAGTTGGTGACCAGGAATTCTGGCCTCCTGCCCACCAAGTACAGGAAAGAAAGCTGAAGTGCCCGGTGGCCCCAAGACAGCTGCACGGCTTCTCCCTCCTCCTCCCCGTCTGTCTCAGGCCCAGCACCCCGCCCTCCAGGCCTGTGGCCTTTGAGGACTTCAAGAGCGAGCGAGGTAGTGAGATCAACCGTATCTTCAAAGAAAACAAGTGCATCTTGAACGAGCGGAGGAAAAGGGCCAGCGAGACAACCCAGCGCATCAATGCCATCAAGAAGGAGATCGACATCACCAAAGAGGCACTAAATTTCCAGAAGTCACTGCGGGAGAAGCAAGGTAAATGTGATGGGAAGAGGGCCCCAGGGACTGTGGGATCTGAGTCATCCTGCTCAAAATGGGGCAGCCTTGGGCACTGGAGGACTGAGATGGAAGGGGGACAGCTGGGGCTGCTGGGGGACAGCCTTCATCCCCGGGTCATCGCTTGGCTCTAGTCATCCCTGAGGAGCCAGAGTCCTTTCCTGTCAGCCAGCCTCTTCCCGTGAGCCTCCCATTATTGCTTTATTTCAGACCCAGGTGCTGGGCCTTCCACTTAATATGTAAATTATAGAAAAAGGCCTCTGGCCTTCTAGAGGCTTCCACAGGGAGATGGATGGCTGGTGACCCCCACAAAGTCCCTAGGTCCCGCGTGGTCTTCTCATTGCCCACAGTGGTCTGGTTGGGGTGGAGGTACTTGTCAAGACATGAGAACTGAGGAGAGAAATAAGAATGTAGATACCAGAGGGCCACGGGGTTGACTGTCAGTAAGACCATTCCTCATGCCAATCCCTCAACACCTGTGCTGGCCTAGCAAAGTCTTATCTCTTAAGGTAGGTGGCGTCTCTTCAGACTCGGAGAGCAGGGATCCTCTGGGTGGGAAGGGTGCTCACCTAGCTACCCTGACCTGGTGTCCTTGTCCCAATGGCAGGCACTGCCCACACCTGCACTGTGGGCCAAGAACCCTCCAGCTTGTGTGTGCAGAGGACTCAGCTGGGAGGGCTGGTCAAGTGCAGATTCCCAGGCCCCAACCAGTGGTTCTGACTCAGGACATCTGCAGTAGGGCCCAGAGCCTGCATTTTTTTTTCTTTTTAAGATTTTATTGGGGAATTGGGGGAGGGGAACAGTGCTGGGGAATCAGGGAAACGGGGACAGACAAGTTGCTGTCCTTTTGTTCTTCAGTCTAGTTGTGGAGGACATCGCTTCACTGGTCCATGTTGGTATTATCATTGCACTCTTCCTGGGTGAGGCAGATTGGTCGCTGGCCTCTGGACGGCCACTCATGGCGGCTCATGGCAGCTCACACCAGCTGCCGCCCGCTCACGCTGGCTGCCAGCCAAACACGGTAACTTATGGCAGCCCACTGCAGCCTACGCTGTCGCCGGCAACTCACGGCAGCCCAGCTCCAGGTCAAGCTGTTGTTCACCATCTTAGCTGTAGAGGGCGCAGCGTCACTGGCCCCCATGTGGGATCCAAACCAGGGCCCTGCTGCTCAGAGCTGGCGTCCCAAGCCAGCTCTTAACCAGCGCGCTACTGGGCCGGCCCTCAGAGCCTGCATTTTAATGAGTGACCATCCCAACTCCGAGGCTAGTGGTTCAGAGGCCACACTCTTGTTCACATTCCTGGCTTGGTCTCATTGTCTTTTTCTGGACGGGCACACCACAGGTCACTGGGCTTTCCCTTGCTAAATCACAATGCCATTCCAGGCCAGCCTTTATGAATGAGCTCACTGATCACCAGAGGCATCTCCAGAGGTCACTTGGTTTATTCCTGCAGGTCAGGATCATCTCACTCACAGGGTGTGCATTTTACTCATTTACTTCTCAGAGGGCAACTTTATTTCCAAGCTCTTGGGGCCACTCTGCTCATATCCTACAGACCAATCATGACACATTATTCCAGAGGACAGCACCCTCCGTGGGTTTGGAAAATGGGAGAAGGCAGGTGATGGTGGACCCAGACATGCCCCCACCCAGAACCTCCAGGGTGAAAATCTTACAGGACTTACACTTCATTGTCCCCTCAGCCCACACCTCTTTGAATATGCAGCCCCTTATTACATATTTATGTAATTTAAATATGTATGAATGCTATGCTGACATATCAGTTACTCCTAAACATACCTAAAAATTGATATTTTTAAAGAATGAGACAGAAAAATAAACAATATTTTAAAATATTTAAAATCTTGTCTATCAGTATCAAAAAAACATTTTTGCTCTTTCCCCCTGGTTGTTAAAACATCCAAGGGCCTTTATCTTGAAGGAACAGATCAAGTAAATTTATTTTTAAAAATACCTGCTAGGTACCTTGATTGGCAGCCCAGAAAGATCAGCAAATTTGTAACATTAATTAGTCTTTTGTGAAAGAAAAATGAGAAATCATTTTAAGTTCAACTCTTTTAAGTGTTTTTCTTAGAGATAATCAGAGAACCCTGGATAGTAACAAAAGATGTTCACTGTCACCTGCCATCTCACAAAGTCCTGTAAAGACTCTACTCTGTAAAGGATTTGTATCTATCAAAGTGACCACATCAGGGATGTCCCCATAGCACACAGGCCAGTTGTCCCTTGCTCTGCACAGAAGTCAAGGGACCTGGTGAGGGTGACTCTGGACCCCCACCCACCCGCCACACACACACACACACACACACACACACACACACACTTCATACACCTTGAATTGGGACCCTTGCTTCTCCATTAATGTGGTGCCAGTGACAATTTGTCTTCCTTTTCCCCATTAAACATTGGAAGTGCTCATGTTTTCCTCCAGCCCCTGGGGACTGCCTCGTGCACTACCCCAGCCACATACCTGTCACAGGCAGGACTCACTCTCCAGTGCCGTGGGGTGGAAGCCCCCTACCCTGGGGGTTTTGATACGACACGTTTGCCGAGCTTTCAAGGTGCTGTGGGCAGTGGACAGTTAAGTGAGTGGCCCCACAGACCATGCCATGTTGTCTTAACCCAACACCCTCATCAAACTGACAGACCTTAAAAGGTCCTTACAAAGAGACGGTGAGTGGAGATGACTAATAGCCCAACTGACCCCGCTCCTTCTGGAGCCTCTGACAGCGACTCAATATGATACAGATGTCTAATCGTCTCGAACAAGAAAGCAGTGAATGTTTAAATCATCAAGAAGACAATCTGAAATGTGGGTTTACATGCACTGTTACTAAAAAGGAACCTTGCCCACGTACCTGTGGAACTAACCAGTGATGGCATTTTGTGTATATAACTTACAAAGAAGGTGAATGAACATCTGTATAACAGAGGTGCTTAGTGAAATGTCTTTGGTTGATGGGGTCTAAGATCAAAGTAAGTGTGGCGCATGGGCCATCTCTGCCCTCCCTTGCCCACCCCTTCTGTTCGTCCTAGAAATGCCAGTGTGGTCCTCTGACTCTGCCCACCCTCTCCCCGTGAGACATGTCCTGGTAGCCTGGCCCCCCTGTGCTTTGCCCACCCCCGTGCCTCACCCCCTGCCCTTTCTCTGGTCTCCGGTCTTGTGGTTTGCCAGCACTGTCCTTTTTGGACAGCCTTCCTCCCTGACCCCAGGTGGGCACCTCATTCCTTGACCTCCATCCCCCTGCAGGAGAGTATGATCACAAGGGGCTGATGATCATCGATGAGGAGGAATTCCTGCTGCTCCTGAAGCTCAAGGACCTCAAGAAGCAATACCGAACCGAATACCAGGACCTGCGCGACCTCAGGGCTGAGATCCAGTACTGCCAGCGCCTGGTGGACCAGTGTCGCCACCGCCTGCTCACGGGTGCGCCACTTGGGAAGGTTGGCTGAGGTCCTTGGGGGCACAGAGCAGGGTCACCTCCTGGGTTCTAGAAGCAGCTTTGGAGCTTCTCTCTGGCAGAGGCAGGAGCCGGGCAGGGGCTTCAGATATGTGTTTCCAGGACTCTGTGGGCAGGAGACGGCGATGGGAAAGGGTGAGAACCTGGTGCAGGTAATGGCAGAGGGTGAACCTGTGACAGGCACAAAACAGACAGGCGCACATGGCCTTTACTTCCTCAGGGACTCCCACACACCTCACAGTGCTGTCTCCTGCCTCGTTGCAGAATTTGACATCTGGTACAACGAGTCCTTCTTCATCCCTGAGGACATGCAGGCGGCACTGAAGCCAGGTAGCAGCATCCGGCCAGGCATGCTGCCTGTCAGCAGGATCGTTTCTCTAGTGAGTGGCACACGGGCAGGGATGGGGATGAGGGGTGAGCACAGGGCAGTGGGCAGTCCCCCTTGTCCTCTGTTCTCCCCACCACATGGCAGTGCACCAGCTGCTCCCAGCCTCTTCCACGGCTGAGCCAGGTAGGTGGGCAGCTACAGGTCTCTCCCCAGTTATCAAGAATGGGGACACAGAAAACACCACTTACTGCTGCCACCCTTCTGAGTGGCTCAGCCCAGGTGGCAGTTACAAGGTGTCTGAGAGGTTGTGAGCTACCTTGGGTGAGGATCTGCAAACCCAGCAAGGGGCTGCCCTGATGCCCGCCATAGACCTTGTCTGGGTGAATCCTGACAATGCCAGGCTGAGGGGACGACTGTGCTGAGTTGGGCCTCCCACAGGGAGAAGATGACCAGGATAAGTTCAGCCAGCTGCAGCAGACGATGCTGCCCGAGGGCCCTGATTCCATCTCCTTCTACAATGCCAAAGTGAAGACAGAACAGAAGGTAACTCGGGTTCATGACTCCAGGAAGGTGGGGCCTCAGGGACCTCATTAATGGGACACCCAGGATCACACTCCCCACTTTAGAGAGGTGGAGGACGACTATGCCAGCTCAGGGAGAGCCACAGTCACCCAGAGTTAGTGGGTATCTTCTGCCAGCTCCAGGGTCCTGGGACTGGGCTGGACCCAATGGGGTCCCACAGACCACAGGCAGGCCTAGACATGGCTGCTGAGTGCTCAGTCAGCCCATGTGAACCCTCCCCTTGTCCAGCGTATCCACACTGTATAAACTACCCACCCGTTAGATACTTAGTAGTGTCTTGGCTATCAGAGTGACTGTCGTGGTATCGCAGTGCTGATGTTCAAGTCACCCTTATTTTACTTAATAATGGCCCCAACGTGTGGCAAGAGTGATGCTGCTAGCAATTTGGGTATGCCAAAGAGAAGCCTGTAAGTGTTTCCTTGAAGTGAAAAGGTGTGTATGGATATAGGGTTCAGTACTATCTGCAATTTTAGCATTCACTGGGGGTACTAGAATGTTTTCCCTGTGGATAAGGGGGGAGCTACTGTGCCATCACACTGGGGATTACGACTTCAACATTATGTGTTTCGGGGGAACACAAACATTCAGTCTGTAACAGGAGACACAAGATATTGCTTTGTACCACTATTGGTGAGGTTAATTTTGATCAATTGATTAAGGTCATCCTATATTTTGTATAAGAGGATGAAAAGGTCTTTGGCTTTATAGAGAGTTTCAAAAATATTATTGCTTATTATAAATGAACCAAAATGATTTGCATGGTTACTGCCATGAATTCTCTTCTGATGTTCCGACAAACCTTGTATTTTCTTTAATTACTTTCAATGTCTCAGACAAACATTTATATTCTAAATTATTTAACAGGGGAGTCTTAACATTTCTACAGGTCAGTATATTCTCCCACCATCCCCTAATCTCTAGGAGAACTCTCTGCATTGGACATTTCTTTTATGTTCGAGACATGACCACGCACAAACTTTTTATGCAAGTGATGCACTTAAACCATTTTCTATTTATTTAAACCTTTAATATATATTATTACAGATGCAGTATGTAGGATCAGATTTTTCAAGGTCAAAATGTTTTCTGTGTTGCTGAATCTCTCTCATGGTGGCATCTATCCGTGTGTGTGTTTAAATCTTAACTTCATATTTGATTGAACTTAAGCTCTAGGAGTCCTGAGCGCATCGGCTGAAATTATTTTCCTCCCAAAAGGGTTTGCACTTACTTTTGCAGTTAGCCATGGGGCATTACCAGCCCAGGGCCATTTTAACCTCCTTCAAGAATTCCAACTTGAGAAGGGATTAATAGCCAGAATATATAGAGAACTCATAAAACACAACAACCCCAAAACACAACAAACCCCAATTCAAAAGTGGGCAAAGGACTTGAATAGACATTTCTCTAAGGAAGATATACAAGTGAAGAATAAACACATGAATAGATACTCAACATCACAAATCATTAGGGAAATGCAAATCAGAACTACAAAACCTCTCACCCATTAGGATGACTCCTATCAAAGAAGCACAAATGACAGGTGTTGGCGAGGATGTGGAATAATTGGCACCCTTGCACACTGTTGGTGGGAATGTAAAATGGTACAACCATTAAGTGAAATAAGCCAGTCACAAAAAGACAAATGCTGTATGATTCCATTTATATGAGACACTTAGTCAAAATCATAGAGACAGAAAGTAGAATGGTGGTTGCAAGGGTCTGGGGGTAGGAGGAATGGAAAGTTACTGTTTAATGGGTACAGAGTTTTAGATTTACAAGATGAGAAGAGTTATGGGGATGGATGGTTGCAAATTATGGTATTATTTAATACCACTGAACTGTACACTTAAAAATGGTTAAGGGCCAGCTGAGTGGCTCAGTTGGTTAAGAGTTTGCTCAAAGGTTTGAGCTCTGAGCAACAGCGGTTCGAGTCCAGCCCGAGCTGAGCTGCCACTGAGCTGCCAACAGGTGGCAGGATGGCTCAGCTAAAAAAAAAAATGGTTAAGATGGTAAGTGTCGTGTTACGTGTATTTTACCACAATAAAAAAATTGGGGGAAAAAAAGAATTCGTTTAATGTGAGAGCTTTAGCTTCAGTTCCCCAACTGCGTGCAGAATCTAGGCTTCATCTCCATATTCCAAGTTGGTTTTAGCATTTGCTTGCTCACTGCCCACCGTTTAATTTCTTCCACCTGCTTTCTGAGAACCTCGCCGTGCAGTCAAAGGGTAGCATTCGTCAACATAGCGTTGATTTGCAGAGGGAGGGCCCTTCAGAGTATATGGGTCCCCACCCCTCTGGAGACAGAACCCTCTTCTTTTTTAACTTAATTCTTGTCAGAAACTTTCAAGTGGCCTAGAAACATGCATGTCTCCTTTTAAACATGCCTGTCACACAATTTTAAAAGTTTTACACCCTTTGTTTAGGATGAAACCATGAAAGGGATGGAATAGGACATCATTTCTCACAGAATTGGGCTAGTCAGGGGGAATTCCTTGTCCCAAAACTGTGATGTTTGCGGGAAGAATGATGGCGTATAGCCTCTGAGTCCGTGTTACGTCCGTACCTCCTAATCAATTCCTGTTTTCTCTTTTCTGTGTTCAGCACAATTACCTGAAAACCACAATGGGCCTCCAGCAGGCACACAGAAAATAGGGACTCGGTGCCAGTGCCTTGAAGGACAAGATGCCCTGCGACTCCTGCCTGCTCTGGTGGAGCTGCTGCACCACCTGCCCAGAGTCCCAGCTAGTCTGCTCCAAGGCTGGACCCAGCCAAGAGAAGACACAATGGCCTGTCTGCCAGGAGGAGCAGCCTTCAAAGGATGCCCTTGCTTATCTTCACAGGAAGCTTTTGGTTTTAATTCACTGTCTTATATGCAGGGACAAGATAAAATAACGTTGTAGTCTGGACCTTTTAGTACTCATCCAAGAGCTGTGTTTCCATTCTGGGAGGATGTCTTCCCTGTGTTCAGGTGGGCTCAGAAGTGAGTCTCCAGGAGGAAAGTGGAAAAGTAGCTCAGCCAGGCCCCGCCTGGCAGGTGTTTGTCCCACAGGTCAGACGCTTTCCTTTCTGCGTGGACTCCTGGGGGTCAGCGGGGTTTGAGGAGCCCTGGTTCTCACGGCTCCCTCAGACCGTAGGTTCTCTCAGAGTATCCTCTCTGTGTTCCTGAGCCAGTGAGGGCAAGAGGCCCTCCTAACTCAGCAACCAGGAGAGGACCAGGTCTGGGTAGAAATGGCTGAAAGGCAGATTTTTATCTCAAAGTAGGAAGAGGCTTAAAATGAGAGTTCTACCATAAAGTTAGCATCAAGAGCCCTCCAGAGGGACGCTGTCTGGCAAGGAGGTGGGAGAACCTGCACTGGCTGGACGGTTGAACTGGATGGCATCTGTCCATTCACAGACCCCGTGATTCTAGAAGCTCTCAGCCCATCAACGAGCAGATGGATAGCGGTTTTGCTGAGGAGAGGAAGCAGAAAGGCTTCCCTTGAGGTCTCAGCCTTCTCCTGTCCAGCCCCTTTCTCTTTCACTGACATAATGGTTCTGAAACAACTTGCAGAGGCTCCTACCATGCCAAGTCTTCCCAGAGCAACTTTGAAGTCTCCTGACTTGATTCTCCTCGGTGACACACAGAGGGCCTGTCACTGACCAGCACTAATGGTGTGCACACAGCCCTGTTGGTCAGTCCTCATGTTTCCTCTGACTGTGGCCAAGCAGGCAGGTCTGCCCAGGCTCTGCTCACCTTCCCAGCTATTAGAGGCCTTAGGCAGAGTTCTGATTCTTTTCCACCTTGGCCGCCACTGCCCTTACCAGAACTTGTTTGGGGTTCCCGCATCTTTGGGACATACATAGCACATAGGGGGTACATCATCTTGTTGGGGCCACAGGAAGCAGCCACTGGTGGCATTACCAGTCCCCCTTCCCTTCATTCCCCATCACTGGCTGGAAACGTGGAGCATGTTGGACGTCCCGCCATAGAATTCCTGGACAGTCAGTCCTGAAGTCTGCTGGCAATGGCAGTTGGTAACATTTGTCTCTGGCTCATTTGTCACCACATAGGCCTCTCTGGTCAGTTCTGGCACCAGCTGAAACAAGTAATCATCAGTGTGGGCAGAGCCACCAGAATAAGCCAGGATGGTGCTCGGAGATCACCCGCCACACAAACTCCTCACAGGAGCAGATGTTTCTAACATGACATAGAGCTAGGGGGCATCATGCCCACTCAAATGGGCCTGTTGTTCTAGAAAATAGTTTCTGCTGAGCTAATCTGACCATCAAAATCACCCCTGAAGGGACTTCCAATTCCATCCATGTGTCAGATAAGATAACCTGAAAACACTCCTTCTATAAACAGATGCTGGTTAAAATATAACATTCTTTAAGTACAAAGCTAAATTTGCAGGAAAGAAAGGGACCTGCCAAGAGCTGGAAAGCTGAAAAGCAGAGTGGTCAGCATGTGAACTGGTGTGGCTTTTGGGGATGAGGAGAGCAGGTGTGTGGGTGGAGTGTTGTTCTTGAGTGTTAATGTCCACATACTTGTAAGTATGAGAAATGAGACTTTGGCCTATGCCCATAGGAAGTTGGAAATGGGACCCCTTGCATAAAGCTGGCGCCCTGAAGGCTTCATCCTTGATGAAGAGGTGAACTAGAAGAAGTTCCCCCACAGCATGGAGTAATAACAAGGGACTTTCCCCAGGGATTAGGGGGAACAGGTCCTGTGAGAATTTGAAATCATGCACAGGTTTGGGATTCACATTTACACTGTGTGGTCCAGGAACCACCAGGCTGAGGAATTAGCATAAAAATTAGCCCAAGGCTGAAACAACTAGTAGAATAAAAAAAAAAAATCTCCTAGGGCCGGCCGAGTGGCTCAGTTGGTTAAGAGCTCACTCAAGAGTGTGAGCTCTGAGCAACAGCGGTTCGAGTCCTAGCCCGAGCTGAGCAGCCGCTGAGCTGCCAATAGATGGCAGGATGGCTCAGCTAAAAAAAAAAAATCTCCTGTACATGCCCTTTACCCAGCAATGCAGCATTCTCACAAAGCCCTAGTAAACATGAGCTCCAAAGATTAAACACACACACACACACACACACACACACACACACACACACACACACACACAGGTGTGCACATGAATGTGCAGAAATAACCTATCATGGTAATGGCACAATGAAAGCAGGATCAGACTTGTAAGAACTTCAGATAATAAATTATTGAACAAAGATTATACAATATTTTTATGTTTTAAAGACAAAAGTAGGAATAAAAATATGATAAAGGCTATCAAAATAGATTTTTTTAAAAAGCAGAATTTCTAGGAATGAAGAAAATGTTGGTCTAAAAGTTAAAATGATGGACTAGAAACAGTGAAAACAGAATTAATGACCCAGATGTTGGATCTGAAGAAATTGCCGGGGATTGCAGTATAGAGGGATGAAGAGATAGAAAAGTGAAAGCACAGGTAAGAGACATGGTGCGCAGAATGAGAAGATCCAGGACACATCTCATCACAAATCCAGGGGAGATGATAGGGAGATCATTCTCTTGGTGATCTCATCTTAAGGCTTTAAACATCATCCATACGCCGACTCTCAGTTTTATACATCTAGCCTAAACTGTTCTGAACTCTAATCCTGTATAGCCAACTGCTAACTTGTTATCTTCACTTGTATTATCTATTAAGACATCGACAAATCAATGTGTTTAAAACTAAATGCCTAACTGCCCCCCAAACATGCTCCACCCATAGCCTCCTTTATCTCAGCCCGATTGCTTAGGCCAAAATCCTTAGTTTTGTACTTCACTCTGCAATTCTTCTCACACCCACATCAAATCTGTCAAATTCAGTGGACTTTACTTTTTTACTGTAATAAAAATCTACTTCTCACCATTTCCACTGCCCCTACCCTGATCTCTTGCCTGAATATTGCAACAGCTTCCTAACTGTGTCCTTGCTTCCTCCCTTGCTCTTATAGTCTATTTCCAGAACAGAAGCCTGGTTGATCCTTTTGAAATATAAGACCACATCACACCTCTTGTCAACTTTTTTTTTTTTAAAGATTTTTTATTGGGGTACTGGGGGGATGGGAACAGCGCTGGGGAATTGGGGAAGGGGAACAGACAAGTTGCTGTCCTTTTGTTCTTCAGTCTAGTTGTGGAGGACGTTGCTTCACTGGCCCAAGTTGGCACCATCATTGCGCTCTTCCCGGGTGAGGCAGATCAGTCGCCGGCTTCTGGACAGCTGCTGGCCGCTCACACTGGCTGCTGGCCGCTCATGCTAGCTGCTGGCCGCTCACGCTGGCTGCTGGCTACACACGGTAGCCCATGGCAACCCACCTGCCATTGCTGGCGACTCACGGCAGCCCAGCTCCAGGTTGAGCTGCTGTTCAGCATCTTAGCTGTACAGGGCAGTGTCACTGGCCCTCATATGTGGGATCCAAACTGGGGCCCTCTGGCGTAGAGCTGGTGTCCCAAGTTCCCTCCCAACCAACGCGCCACTCGGCCGGCCCTCTTCTCAAACTTTTAATGACTCATATTTCTCTCAGAGTGAAACCAAAGTCCTTAAACCAGCTTACAAGGCCCTACATGGTCTTGCCTCCTGGGACTTGAATCTCTTCTGCTCGTCCACTTTCACACTCTGCTTTGGCCACATGGGCCTCCTCACTGTTCCCAAACATGCCAGGCATCTCCTGCCTCAGGACCTTTGCACTGGCTCTTCCCATTGTCTGAAATATTCCTCCACATGTCCATAAGGCTTACTCCCTCACTTCAAGTCATTGGTTAAATGGCAGATGCTGTCATGCTTTGACTATAGTCTCTTGCACTTGACATTCCTGCTTATGGCTTCCTACTGAAAGCATCTGCAACTTCCTACATAAAGGCTTTTCAACATAGGTACTTATCTGCTGCAAAGTGGGTCAAAACGCCAAGAAGTTAACACCTTTAGGAGCAACCCTCAACCAATGAGTCAGTGGATGAGTACCCCAACCTCCTCTCCCTTGGGTGGGACAAGTTTTTGGGACTATTTCCTGGGACTTCCCAGCATGAATACAAATTCACATATACATAAACGGAACCAAAGGGGGAAAAAATAATTGCTATATTAAGTTAGGGGATTGTCAATGAAATAACATAAAATTTTAAAAGTTGTTTTAATAATGCTATATAATTTTTATAATTAATATAAATATAATAAAAGTGTAAGTTTGAACCAATACAGCACCCAAGGTTTCTTTCTCAAGTTCTGAGATTCAAGGTAGGGCAAAAAGCTCTGGATAGTTCTCCCTGTCTTCCCTCTTTAATCTGAAAGGCTCAGACACCGCTGTGCCTATTTCCTCTGGCATTGCACAGAGCTTCCAATCCACTCTCCCTACCACCAGCTGGGCCCAGGGAGTGTCACTCTGAACTTGACGGTTGATCAGCAGGTTGTACTTTTCTGAGGCAATACGATACAGGGTAGAGCACAGGTGTTAGGCCAAGTCATCCAAGTTTAAATCAGGACTCCGTAGCGTACCGGCTTGGGAACTTGGGCAAGTTGTCCATTTTCCCTGCCTTCCTTATGTGTAAAGCAATAATTAATCCTGGGGCTCTGTGAAATGAAGGAATTAATGTATCTAGTGCACAGCAGGGCCTCAACCAACCGAAAGTGCCATGACAGTAACATCATCATCCTCATCCTCATAAATATATCAATGTGCCCAGCATTACATCTGATAGATGGTGAGCAAACGCACACGCACACGCACACACATACACCAACCAAAGTGGATTTTGGATTTGAAAAGGCAGCATTCAGACTGGCATTCTCTCTTTCCAATTAATCCTGACTGTGATGGCTTTTTAAAACCAAGAGTTGACAGTAGAAGTTGCTGCTAAAAATATACCTAGTGCCATCCTGGGCAGTGTGACTGGAGGTCAAGTGTTTTGGGTCA